TATGGCAGCCCAAGCTGAGGCAAACCGCCTGCTCAGAGAGGAGCAACATCAGGCCACCAGTATGATACAGAAGGAGATACAGGCTTTGACCAAGGGACTGACCAGAGTCTCAGATGGGACGCAGTCCGAGGTTAAAATGATCAGAGCCAGCCGTTACCTGCAGAAGATGACACCTACAGATGATGTGGAAGCATACCTTCTAGCTTTTGAGAGGACAGCTGAGAGAGAAGAGTGGCCAGTGAGTGAGTGGGCAAGCATACTGGCACCTTTTCTTATTGGAGAACCCCAGAAGGCTTTCTATGACCTGGAACCAGCACAGGCAGGGGTCTACTCCAAATTGAAGGCTGAGATCCTTGCACGACTTGGTGTGACTATGGCAGTTCGCGCCCAAAGATTTCATGCCTGGACTTTCAACCAAGAGAAGCCTATCCGCTCCCAGATGTTTGACCTGATACATCTGGCTAGAAAGTGGTTACAACCAGAAATAAATACGGCAAGCCATATCATGGAACTTCTTGTGATGGACAGATTCCTGCGGGGCTTGCCTGCTTCACTGCGTCGATGGGTCAGTCAGAGTGATCCACAAACAGCTGATGAGCTAATTGGTTTGGTGGAAAGATATGTGGCTGCAGATGACAGACAGTGGCTCAACAACACAAAGGCTAAGCAGAGAGTTAAGACTCCAGCTCCTGAAAGACCTGGTAAGATTTTTCAAGATTTCAGAGACACAGAGGAACAAGAGACATATTCTCAGGGACCCCATACGCTTATGCCTAGAAATGTTAATCCTGGAAAAGGGTTTAGGTGGGGGACAGTTAATAATATGAAATGTTTCCGGTGTAATTAACCTGGACATAAAGCTAGAGACTGTCCCTTGATTGATGAACCGATGCAATGCAATATGATTAGTCAGGATGTACAATTGTCTTGTTTGCTGAATTGTATGGAATCTGCTGTTGCCAACTGTAGTCACAATCCACAGATATGTTCCATAAGGGTGAATGGGAAAGAGGTTAGAGCTCTATTAGCCTCCGGAAGTATGGCGACATTGATAACAAAATGCCTTGTACCTGAAGCCGATGTTGATGCATTTCAGAAAATTGGTATAATTTGTGTTCATGGTGACAAACGTGAATATCCTACAGCTTTGCTAAAGTTTGAAAGCCTTTTCGGTACTGTTAATCATAGAGTGGGTGTGGTGGATAAATTGGCTTATGATGTGGTATTGGGAAGAGATTTTCCCCAATTTTTAGACTTGTGGGGGTCTACAGGAAAAATAGTTCATGATTGTATAGCAAATGATTCTAGAAATGTGTTCCCTTTTTCTGACATAGAATGGGAAGGACTAGGCATAAGACCAGGGAAAGCTGAAGTCTCAAGTCACAGGCCAGCTTTAGTAGGAGATGACCAGGGCCACGATAGTCAGGAGACCGATAACGATCAGGATCAAGGCATTAACTTCCCTGAATTAGAAGTCAGTCCTGTTAACTTCAGGAAAGCGCAATGGGAAGACCCCACTCTTGCAGAGGCCCGCAAAAATATCCAGGTTTCAACTGATGATCCAGTACAACTAGATAGAGCCCCTTCTTTTCCTTATTTTGAGGTACAGAATGATTTGATCTATAGAGTAGAGAAAAAGGGGATGGATGTTGTAAAACAACTACTTGTTCCTAAGCCCTTCAGACATACAGTCCTAAATCTTGCACACAGCCATATCCTGGGGGGACATTTAGGCACAGAAAAAACAAGAGAAAGAGTCTTACAGAGGTTTTACTGGCCTGGGGTGTTCGCTTCAGTTGCAAATTATTGTTCTTCTTGTCCTGAATGCCAACACACCGCCCCTTTTAAGGCATATCGCAGTCCTCTGGTACCATTGCCTATAATAGAAATACCTTTTGAGAGGATTGCAATGGACTTGGTGGGTCCTCTGGTAAAGTCTGCAAGAGGGCATCAGTATATATTGGTGATTCTGGATTATGCTACCAAGTACCCAGAAGCAATACCCCTACGTAACACCTCTGCAAAGACAATAGCGAGAGAACTCATGCTCATGTTTAGCCGGGTGGGCATACCAAAAGAAATTTTGACAGATCAGGGTACACCATTTATGTCTAAAGTTACAAAGGAGTTATGCAAACTACTTCAAATTAAACATCTTAGGACTTCTGTTTATCATCCACAAACAGACGGACTGGTAGAACGGTTTAACAAGACCTTAAAAAGTATGTTAAGAAAAGTAATTGACAAAGATGGTAAGAATTGGGACTGCTTACTACCCTATCTAATGTTCTCCATAAGGGAGGTGCCACAAGCTTCTACGGGCTTCTCTCCTTTTGAGCTTCTATATGCCCATCATCCCAGAGGTCTACTAGATATAGCAAAAGAAACCTGGGAACAGGAATCCAATCCGTACCGTAACTATGCCAATAGTTAAAGAACATATGCAGAAAGCCCAAGATGCCCAGAAAAACTGTTATAATAAAAATGCCAGACTGAGAGTTTTTTACCCAGGAGACAGGGTACTTGTTTTGGTCCCTACAGTAGAAAATAAATTTCTAGCATCTTGGCATGGCCCATATGAGGTTATTGAACAGGTTGGAGAAGTTAATTATAAAGTGAGACAACCCGATAGGAGGAAACCTGAGCAAATATATCATATTAATTTACTAAAACCCTGGAAGGACAGAGAGGTCTTAACTACTTCAGTTGTCACTGATAAGACTAGTAGTGAACTTGAAGTAAATATACCAGACACCCTGTCCCCCCACCAGAAACAGGAAGTAAGGGACTTCATTGGTAGAAACAGGGATGTATTTTCCGTAGTTCCGGGCAGGACTAACGTTATCAAGCATGATATTGTTACAGAACCAGGGGTGAAGATAAGCCTTAAACCATACAGAATCCCAGAAGCACAGAAAGAGGCTGTAACTGCTGAAATTAAGAAAATGTTAGATCTTGATATTATTGAGGAATCCCAAAGCGAGTGGAACAGCCCTATAGTACTGGTGCCAAAACCTGATGGCGCGATAAGATTTTGTAATGATTTTCGTAAATTAAATAGTGTGTCAAAGTTTGATGCTTATCCAATGCCTAGGGTCGATGAACTGATAGAGAGACTGGGTAAGGCTCGGTACCTGACTACTTTAGACCTGACGAAAGGTTATTGGCAAGTACCTCTTACAGACAGAGCAAAAGAAAAGACAGCTTTTTCTACATCAGGGGGATTATTCCAATACAAGGTGCTACCATTTGGGTTACATGGGGCCCCTGCCACTTTTCAGAGACTGATTGATAGGATTTTGAAGCCTCACAGCCGTTATGCAGCCGCATACCTAGATGACATAGTCATTCACAGTCCTGACTGGGCTTCACATCTTCCCAAAGTGCAGGCAGTACTGGACTCTATCCACCTAGCTGGTTTAACTGCTAACCCATCTAAGTGTACTATAGGTTTGGAAGAGGCAAAATATCTGGGTTATTCGATTGGGAGAGGACTAGTTAAGCCCCAAACAGCAAAAGTGGAGGCCATACAAAATTGGCCACGCCCCCTCACTAAAAAGCAAGTTAGGACTTCCTTGGGACTTATTGGGTATTACAGGAGATTTATTCCTGGTTTTGCTACATTAGCAGCTCCTTTAACGGATCTCACAAAAGGAAAAGCCCCACTAGTGGTTAAGTGGTCAGTAGAGGCAGAAAAATCGTTTGTAACTTTGAAAGAGGCTTTGTGCACCCAACCGGTTCTGGTAACCCCTGATTTCACTAAAGAGTTTATTGTCCAAACCGATGCATCAGAGCTTGGGTTAGGGGCAGTTCTGTCTCAGGAAATTCAGGGTGAAGAACACCCAGTGTTTTATTTAAGTAGGAAGCTGACTCCCGCTGAGAAAAATTATTCTATAGTGGAAAAGGAATGCCTTGCCATAAAATGGGCCTTAGACACATTGAAATATTATCTGCTGGGTAGAAAATTTAGGTTGGTCACAGACCATGCCCCCTTAACCTGGATGAGTCAAAACAAAGATAATAATGCCAGGGTGATAAGGTGGTTCCTCAGCTTACAACCATTTCATTTTACGGTTGAACATAGGCCAGGGTCTAAACATGGAAATGCTGACAGTTTGTCGCGAGAAAATTTGTTTTCTGTGGTCGCTCACCCCACTAGGTCTGAGCTGGGGGTGAGGATATGTAACAGAGTGTTGGGGATGGTGGTCAGGGGTGTATATCTGGCACCCAGACTTTTGCACAGCCACTATCCTGACATGTGGGTAAGCACATGCAGCCCCAGGGAAAGTTAAGTTTAAATGTAGGTTTTTTCCTCTGTTGTTATTTGGGTCCCTGGGTGGAGTATTCGGAAGAGCAGGGTGGGCCGATTCTCCACCCACTGTCAGAGTGGTTGTGCATGAGTCCAGCCCAGGTTTTCCATAGAGTTCTGGCTCACTGCCTAACGAGGTCATTAGCCTCACCTGTAGGGGCTGTGAGCAGCTATATAACTGCAGTTAAAGCAGGGTGAAGGGAGGGAAGTGTTTTGGAGGAGAAAGAAAGTGTTTTGTGGAGAAAGAAGATTTGCTGTTCATTGTATCCTGTTACTTCACAACAACAGAAAATAAACAGGCCAGAGGCCCTTTTGAAACTGGACTTTGTCTTGGGGCTGCATGTGCTTACCCACATGTCAGGATAGTGGCTGTGCAAAAGTCTGGGTGCCAGATATACACCCCTGACCACCATCCCCAACACTCTGTTACAATATATATATAAAAGAAGAATTTGCGGCCTGCGGTGCATTGCTTGCAGTCCTGATGCATGGAGAAATGCTCAACACTTGATGCATGGAGAAAAGGCCTTCACAAGCCTCTGCTAATGTGTACATAGTTTATACTAAGTGACCCATAGGCTGAGGAGGCGGTGACCGTGGCGGTGTAGGTGGAAGCAGTGGTGGAGGAGGAGGATGAGGTAGCCAACACTGTTTTTTATTTATATATATTTTTTAATTGGGGTAGCCCCCAAAATATTGGGACATATAAAAAAAGACAACTCTGTTCCGCAGAGTAGCTGTTGACATTATAGTTGCGCGGGCACTTTGCTGACTCTAGAGAATCTCAGGCCAATCGCACATCCCCGTGACGGTGACTTTGCATTCGGATGTCATCCATATCAACTTTCTATGCCAGTTTCTGTGCCTACCATGGTGACCACGGGTAACGTGGAATCAGAGTTCCATTCCGTACAGGGACCCCGAGAAACGGCTACCACATGCAAGGAAGGCAGCAGGCGCGCAAATGACCCACTCCCGACGCGGGAAGGTAGTGATGACAAATAACAATACAAGACTCTTTAGAGGCCCTGTAATTGTAATGAGTCCACTTGAAATTCTTTAACTCTGATCAATTGGAGGGAAGTCTGGTGCAGAGCCACTGACCTGTGCGTGCTGCAGCTGAAACTCCACTATCGCCTGCTGCTACTCGCACAGTCTCATGAGGCGGTGAGCGGGAAGGCCGAAGTTACGCTGCAGCGCAGACAGGCAAGCAGCAGCAGGGTGAGAACGCCGAAAGTGCGCACAGCAACTACAGTGAATGTCACATCCTGTTCCAAGTTGCGGATCAGTCTGGTGATAGCTTCTGGTATCCAGTACTCTTTTTACTGAAGATGCATCAGGGTTCTGGTATGTGGCCGTACAAACGCTGGTGCTCAACACCAGGGGGCATGTGGTTACCCTACACCAGACACTGCTAATCCATTCCACACTGTGATTCCTAACTTCAACATCAGGCATACTGGGTCCCGGTCGTCCGACCGCCACCTGTGACAGCAAAACCACGTAATGGGCAGACCAGTGGAGCCAGACTGCGCTAGAGCCCATCATCATCCTCATCTGGTTGTAAGTAGGCAATCTAGTATATAATTCGTGGCACTAAGCTCTAATTTACCTCACATTAAGAAACACTATAGTCCCCAGAACCACTTCAGCTTAATGTAGTGGTTCTGGTGTCTATAGCCTGTCCTTGCAGGCCTTTTAATGTAAACACGGCGGCACTGCAGCACTGGCGCTAGTAAACATGGCAGATCATATGGGTGGGGCATTGTGATGTCACATGGGGGGGGCAGCAAACTTTACTTTTGTCTAGGGCGGCAAAAACCCTTGCACCAGCCCTGGCGGGGTGTCACGTGACTACCCGGCGCTCAGTCTGACACTGCGCCCGCCGGACGTCCAGAGGTCCCCCTGCTATGTCAGGTAAAAGGGGGGACAAAGGTAGAAAAATAATTGGAAGGGTTTAGGGGGGCTACTAATATGGATGGGGGAGGGGTAGGTAGAAAAAAAACTGGAAAGGGTTAGGGGGACTACTAATAAGGATGGGGGAGAGGGGTAGGTTGAAAAATAATTGGAAGTGTTTAGGGGGGCTACTTATATGGATGGGAGGAGGGGGGAGGTAGAAAAATAATTGGAAGGGGTTAGGGGAGTACTAATATGAGTGGAAGGGGTTCTAATATGCATGGACGGGGTTAATGGGTACTAATATGCATGGAAGGGGTTAGAGGGGTACTAATATGCATGGAAGGGGTAGGGGGGGTTAATATGCATGGAAGGGGTAGGGGGGGTTAATATGTGCATGGAAGGGGTACGGGTGGTTCTAATATTCATGGAAGGGGTAGGTGGGGTTCTAATATAAATGGAAGGGGTAGAGACGGGTAGTAAAATGTATGGAATGCACTTCTGAAAGTGTCACTGAATGGCAGTTAGGAAATGTGGTCACCCTAAGTCAGGGGCAGTATTACACAATCTGTATATGTATAAAAAAATATAAAAAGTAATCTGCAAAGTACAAAATGTTTGTATCATATGTCGTGCTAAAAATTAAGCTAGAAATGTGCATATTTTTTTAAAATAATTTTTAGAATAATGATACAGACATTTTATTTCTTACATTTGTGATGATTCTTTTTCTCCTCTATATTCAAGGGACACTATAGTCACCAGAACCACAACAGCTAAACGTAGTAGTTCTGGTGTCTATAGCATATCTTTCCAGGCTTTTTAATGCAAGCACTGCCATTTCGTAAAATGCAGTATTTACATTACTGCTGAGGAATACCTCTAATGGACACTCAGATGGCCACTAGGGGTTCTTCCTAGTCGAGACATGAATACCACCCTATGAAGTATCTGCGCATGTGCGGCAAAGCTGCACATGTGCACCAGGGAGCAATGACGCTTCTGAATAGCAGCATTTTATTGCTCCCTGCTCGCACCCTCCTATTTCGTCATTTTGACGAAATAGGGGGCGTGGCATCAGGAGGATCCCGGCACTGTATCCAGGTAAGTAAAACCCCTTCCCTGTAGTGACCCTTTAATGTTATTATTTTATCATTTATATAGCGCAATGAGCAAATTCCATAGCGCTGTACAATGGGATAAACAACTCCTGGTTTACGGAATAAGAATATACCCGGCGAGTAAAAATGCTATCCCCCCCAGATTTTTGGGGGTTCCTACGCCCATGGTCTGGAGTGACCCTTTAGGTACAAATGAAGCTGAGGCTACAAACGCCTACTTCCCTAATACAAAAATGTACATTCAGGACCAGCCCGTCCACAGGATGATGTAGGGCAATGGGCCCAGGCGGCACTTGGACAGGGGCGGCACTAAAAGGGGACACGTGCACAGGCCCGGGCGCAATGAGGTAGGGGCACCATGCGGGCCAATCTCTGTGATAGCCCAGGGTGCCCCAGAGCGGCGCCTACTCAGCAATGCAGAGTAGGCACCTGCTTACCCCAGATGGCAGGTGCCTACTCTACCGATACATAACGTGCCGTGGGGGAAAGGGATGTTCTGAAGGAAAAAGGAAACATTTATTTGAAAAAGGTCTGTGCTAAAATTTGTGTTTTGTATTGTTGGAAGTGGGTAAGCTGCCCAACAGCAGTTAGGAAAAAAAAACAAAAAACCTGTCAGTTAGTGCTCAGAGGAGCAAGGCTTTTCTTTTTGTTTGTTTTATTTGTGTTTAAAAGTCAGTGACTGTGTCTGTCAGTCAGTAAGAGTAAGTGTTTCTGCCAGTGACAGTGTGTGTGTGTGTGTGTCAGTAAGAGTAAGTGTGTCTGCCAGTTCGTGTGTAAGCCAAGAGTAAGTGTGTCTGTATGTCTGTCAGTGTGTCAAATCAATAAGTGTGTGTCTGTCAAGCAAGGAGTGTGTCTCTATCAGTCAGTGAGTGTGAGTCAAATCAGTAAGTGTGCGTTTGTCAGTATGTCTGTGTGCCTGTCTGTGAATATGTGTGTGTTTAGATACTGGTTCCCCTCCGATCGCATGTGAAACCTTTTTACCCAGGCCATGCCTGTCTTGTCGTGGCTGGCCACACCTCCATAGTTGAGCTCATCAATCTTGAGGATCTAAGCCAGGCCAATGTTTTCCCAAAGGAAAGCACTGGAAGTCTATTGCACATGCGTGGAAAAATGCCCGCTGCCCCAATCAGCATCTCCTTTAGAGATGCATTGAATCAATGCCTTTCTATGGGGAATGTTCAGCATCTCCATGCAGAGCGTGGAGACACTGAATGTAGGTAATGCACACTGTAGCACTGGACTAGGAAGCATCTCTAATGGCCGTCTGAGTGACTGCCACTAGAGATGTTACTAGGCAGTAGTAATTTTCTCTGAAAAGGCAGTGTTTAGATTGACAAGCCTGTAGAAACAGGCTATAGACAACAGAACTACTACATTAAGCTATAATGGTTCCGGTGACTAAAGTTCCCTTTAAATCAGGGAAGCCAAATATTGTGGAACTACAGCCCTCAGATGCTATGCCAACATAAGGCTGGCAAAGCATTATGGGATTTGTAAGTCTGCCATATTGACATTTGACCTTCCTTGGTTCCATACATATAGCGACTACAGTTTACACTTGGAAGCACTTGACTTGCCATCCACATAGAGTAAATCAACTCATTATTGAGTTTTATTTTAGTTTTCATTATTATGATCTAACACAGGGGTCATCAACCTGGTCCCTACCACCCACTAGTGTATAATTCAGACTTTCAGGTGGGTTCTGCGTAAAATGCCCGGTGGGCCGAGATGCGCAGGCCGGCAGGGGTGAGCCTTTCAGATTATGGAGATCCCATGCAGAGCCAGCCTTGCTGTGAGCCCTCTTGGGCTGGTGAGGAGATCAAACATCTCCTTCACCAGACCTCTGGCACTTCGATCCAGCAGAGGGAGGGAAGGGCCTGGTAGGCTCTGTGTTCTTTCCACGAGCAGGCTGGACCACCAGGGCTTGCAGCATTATGTGCCCCCTCCCTGACAAAGGTAAGAAGAAGGGAGGGGGGAGACATTAAGCTGGATTTGCACATCTTACACACAATATAGACCCTATGCACCCCTCACATACACACTCCCCCCTCACACACTGCATATCATCCTTCACACATTGCCCCTCTCTCACACTCACACACACACACACACTGCACCCGTCTCACACACAAAAATAGAACAGAAAATAGAAGAAAAAAATAATAGATACATTTAAGTACTTTTTTTTTAAACATTCTTTCTAAAAAAAAAAATAAAAATAAAAAAATTGCATTTGCGTTAAACAATAGAGTTACTGCAGCATCGGTGGGCGGTAAGGAAATTTTACCATCAACAAAAATACAAATGTGGGCGGTAGGTATTAAAAGGTTGACTTAATGGATGTGAGCTTGGTTTTTTTTTTTGGGAGGGGGGGTGAGAGGGCAGCATTTCATTCTTGGACCCAGGTAGCACAATGTCTTGGGCCGGCCCTGTGTACATTTATAATACAAACTGAGAGACAGGCATGCACTGCTCAGGTGTCAATCCGGTCCTTTATAAAAGTGCTTATGATTCAAGTGCAGAATTATTTTTAAAGGTCTTGGAGCGCTGTGGTATAGGATGATTCAGCTACTGACCCTCACAAATTCATAACTAGACACACACACCTACTCAAAGTGACTTTCACACATTAACAACATATATTAATCTCATCTCACTTACCAAGCAATTTCTCTAACTCTGCATCTGGAACATAAAATGGTGGGCCTGAAAGAGAATGCACGGCAATTAACAATCAAACTATAAACAAACAAAAAAAATAAGTAAATCTGGTGCCCACAAATGTGTGGATCATGTTTATATGTATACGTACATATTTGCACTTTTAAAATATGCATGTGTTAACTGTGGCACTATGTATATTTATCAACAAGTTTGGGTAAACTAAGAACTGGGCAGGTGTGGCCGATCACCATGTCACAGTCAATTGTTGTTTCAAAATGGACGGTATATCCCTTAACATTTTAATTTGTATTTGTTTATCCTTTACAGAAAGGATAATAATTTAGAGGTCACATGATGAGCCAATATTTTAGACACATCTGAAATATTAAAGGAACACTATAGTGCCAGGAAAACATACTCGTTTTCCTGGCACTATAGTGCCCTGAGGGTGCCCCCACCCTCATGGTCCCACTCCCGTGGCGCTGAGGGGGGAGGAAGGGGTTAATCCCTTACCCTTTTTCCAGTGCCGGGCTCCCTCGGTGCTGGGACTCTCTTCCCTCTTCTGACGCCCCTGGCTGAATGCGCATGCGCGGCAAGAGCCGTGCGCGCATTCAGCCAGTCTCATAGGAAAGCATTCTCAATGCTTTCCTATGGATGCTGGCGTCTTCTCACTGTGAAAATCACAGTGATAAGCGCGGAAGCGCCTCTAGCGGCTGTCAATGAGACAGCCACTAGAGGCTGGATTAACTCATAGGTAAACATAGCATTTTCTCTGAATTTGCTATGTTTACAGCAAAAAGCGTTAACCCTAGCTGGACCTGGCACCCAGAACACCTCATTAAGCTGAAGTGGTCTGGGTGCCTATAGTGGTCCTTTAACATACAAACAAAAATAACTTTGTGTTACCTAACACTGCATCACAGTAGGTGTAATACATCAACCCCCCCTCCCCACCTTTAACCCCCTAAAAAAGAACTAATACTTCCTGTGAAATGCTATTGCAGCATTTACTGGGGTGAACAAAGCAGCAGAGGCAAGTTAAAACAAAACCAATTTGCATGCTTTCACATGTGTGCTCAGCACAGCATGCAGGTTAAAATAGAAAATTACCTATGAAGAAAATATATATATATATATATATATAAATAAAAATAAAGTTTAGAACAAGCAATGGCTAACTTTTAGATGTGAATATTGATCTTTAAATATTAGTACTGATCCTGGTGGTATTTGTAGTAATGCAGATTCATAAAAATACCAGCAGAATGTGAAAAATAAGATCTGTAAGCAGGCATGATACCATGTAGAGTAGTATTTACCCTGGAGTATGCAGAGGTTTTTAAGATACACCTCTTTATTCATTGACCTTAAGATCTCCTCCATGTTTGTTAGAATGTGTGAATAAAGTTTCAAATTCATGACCTAGGGAAATAATGTTTGCTAGAGTATTTTGCTTCTCTACTGTCTGACTTTTAAGTCTTAACCAAAAAGGAAGGGGAGTAGTAAAGATTTAGCAAATTACATCACAAACTGGCTCAGACATGGCAACAGTAGGGCAAACACTGCAAATGAAAATGAGAAACAGAATCAGTTTAATTTCTGATCTCTCTAAGCTTTATTGATGTGGAATATCAATTATGCTTGAAAAAGGGCTTAGATGAAGGGACCCACTTGCAGGATGAAGGGGAATGAATTTCTACATTTAGTTTGATATCTCACTCCTCTAAAATACATATTAAACATAGGGACAAGTAAATAAAACATTACAAGTCCTCGGAAAGGTCTTTTGCTATAAACTTTTTGCAGGATCTACTTTGTCCACATCTATTGAAAGGAGCACAGTGTCAATTTATGCCTGTATCAAAAGCTTACAAATGCAAAATAATGACTTCACCCCCAGTCATTTTTGCAGATTTAATGTGGGTTAAAGTTAAAAATATAAAACATATATTCCATCGACAACAATCCATTGACATCTTTGCTTACCTGGATGCAATTTTGGATTATATTCGAGAGTAACCAGAAGGTAACGACAATCTTTATCCATTAATGAAATCATCGCATTGGCATAACTGCATGTAAAATAATAAATGTAAAGAATGCATGTTATTCTATTTGAAAAACACACATTGCAAGTTAAAGCACCAATATAAAGGAAAACTTAGATACAAATAAACTGCCACATTAATCGAACAGCAGATAATGTATGATTACTGTAAAACAGGACACCAAATACTCACAGATTTCTATATGTATGTACACCTAATATATTTGTATTATTAGCTTTTATACAGCGCCATCATATTCTACAGCACTTTATAATTATAGAAAGGGGATATTTAAGGGGTGAAGAAGTCCCTGTTAAAACATGTTTACAATCGAAGAGGATTTGAGGTAGTAGGATATACATCACCAGGTTTCTGGCCCAAGGACACATACTGGTAAAATGGTCTGACCGGGATAATAAGCATACAAAAGGTAAGATGCCAAAACTAGGAATTAGCAGGGAAGTTGCATTGCTATATGATGTTTCAGAGAAATGGCAATGTTCATATTTCCAAGAGAACATGCCTCTAATGGCCGTCAGACTGGAAATTGAAGTTTGCTAGACAAATCACCAGGACAGGTGTCAGCAGCCTATGGCATGCAAGGTACTTCCCCTTTTAAACCAGAGGTAAGGGGGGGAGCACGGGACTAAACAGCTAGATATACCAATAGTGTCAGGAATACATGATTGTATTCCTGACACTATATAGTGTTCCTTTATATTATAATAGCATTCTAATATCAAAAAAGTGAAAAATAGCTCAGCAAAATATTACAATACTGATATTTTTATGCTGTGAACATTTATTTACAAGGTCACTCACTAAAGTGATAATTGTCAGGAATTCAAATTCAATTTCAAATTTAAAGCCAAAATAGCAACACTTAAAAACTCTAAGTCAGTTATGCTTCTACATAGTTACATAGTTACATAGGCTCCAGAGACATGCGTCCATCAAGTTCAGCCTTCGTCACATCTGTGTTTTGTGAGTGATTCAAAAGAAGGCAAAAAAAACAACCAAAAAAACAAAAAACAGTTTGATGCACTTCCAATTTTGCTTCAAACTAGGATTTTCATTTTAGCTATTTCGGCATTAAATTTTAGACATTCACATTGAATTTCCAACAATTCTCACCCCATTAGCCTGAAACCTTAGAGAAAATAAATTGTTTGATAAAGGTGTAAGAATAATTAAAGTGGCTCTCTGTCAGCCTTCCTACCCTTTCCAAAATGAGTAATTCATAAAGATAAAAATCTTTATGAAAAACGCACATGGACTGTGTTGGAATTATAATGAGCTAAAGTACGGATTACTTTGTCTTAGTATTTTTCCTACGCTTGACAATAGGAAGAGCTACCACTGTAAAATGTTGTCATTTCCACCAGCCGTCACTAGTGACAGGTGTAGGGGAAAAGATAATGCATCTTTGTAGGATCCTCTAAAGACCACAGTATTACACTCTTGCGAATGTGAGATGAAGCATCAGAAGCGGAGAAGGACAAGGCAGGAAGAAAACAGCTCCGGCCGCATTGGACAGGTTCAGGTAAGTAAAATTTACCTTCCCCTGCACACTGCGGCTGCCAGACACCAAGCTAAGCAGTCACCATCATGGATCTTTGAAAAATTTGCAAAGACCCCAGATGAGACAGAGCCACTTGAGTCTAGTTTTTTTTCTTAAATTTTAGTTTTACACATTGCTTATAAAATTGTTCATTTGGAAGAATTCCCCGACTGTTTTAATCCCAAACTGGCTAGTTTATCCCCCCCGCTTTGCATTTCAGATGTTAATTCACTACAATTCAGAGTTTGACAGTCCTCATTAATGTGAACTAATCTAGTCAAAAATATCCAACAAATGTGACTGTATTAGATATATTACAAGCACATAATGTATTATTGTAAATTCATTTTGAGAGTTTTTCCTCAATGAACAAAACAAAAAACAGAACTATGTAGAGTATCTTCCATAATGGGTGCATAATATGTTTACATGCTTGTAGTTTTCCAAAGAAACCTGGAAGGGAATTGTCAGTAATCTATTTATTTTATAAATAAAATATGATAAATATGTTTACTTGTACAATTAAATGAGGTTGATTACTATTAATTTACAATTATTGCAGTTATGATATGTATGGCTGTACAATAGTTAACAATGTCATTTCCAAAACATTTAAGATATTTTTTAAAGCAGGAGTTTTGTTTTTAATAAAAAACTAAAAAGCCATGTTATTGCTTGAATACAATAGTTAATCTCCTTAGACTAAATGTTCAATTTATTGTCAATAATATTAAAATCAATGAAAACTAGTATATTGTTTGGTCTCACATTCCTGCTTATTCACTGGTTTGCTTAAATCTGGTAAAAAAAAAAAAAAAAAAGTTGAAACAATTGGAGGAAAATGACACTACTTCTGTTATAATCCAAGGTGCTCAAAACTGGACCTGAGGTTGGCAAATCCTCAACATGAAAAGAAGCAAAGAAAAATGGTCCAGGCATTCGAGGTAAAGTAACCGGCAGATTTAGTGAACAATCACAGAAACGTTTTGATCCCAAATGAGGTCTTTATCAAGCTTGATAAAGACCTCATTTGGGGTGAAAAAGTTGTTGTGATTCTTTGATAAAGCGGACAGTTACCTTACCTCTAGTGCCTGGAAATAAGATATGATTTCACAATATAAACCCCCTCCCCCCCCCCAGAAATTACTAACCGTTCTCTATCAATCGGATTCATGGCTACCATGCTACCTCGATCCCAGATTCCATCAAACTTGCCCACAATTGTTCTGGGAACAAAAAAATCATTATTTAAAATAAATAATCAGCGCAGTTAAAGGGACACTTAAAGCACGTTAAACACCTTATTGTAGGTATTATGGCGTAAGAAAGCCGTCCTTTAAAGATTTTTTAAATAATTATCAATCCAATGAGTTTTATCTTTATTTTCCCATTACGGATAGCCCAAACTAAGATCTCGTGACTGAACGATAGCTTCCCCACTCAGTAGTTAACGCACATGGACAGCGAACACATTAACAACAGTCAAGTAAATCTCTTTCACTTGCAAGACTTACATATACACAGTTTGATTCCAAATTTCCATGCTTGGTTCCCAGGGGTGACAAATGACAGGGGGCACAGAGCACCCCCTTGTTGCCAGAGCAGGTACCTCCCCACCAGTGGTGACTGTCACTTGGCAAGTGCATGCTCTGCAGATTCAGACTTTGCAAGTGGTGGGGGAGCTGCTGATATCAGTCTAAGCTCTTACTGGACAGCTCCATCTCCACCCTTGTACTAAAGCTGGGAGCCAAGATGTAACCTCATCCCAGCCTGGGTGTTTGTACAGAGCTGCAGGAAGCTGTGGAATCAGTGCACAGACTGATCAGACGAGAAAACTTGAGGACACCAGGAATGATGAGCCAAATACAAATCAAATGTGAGTGTATATGAATGAGTGTATGAATTGGAGCACTTGTATATGAATACATGAATATGTGTGTATGCTTACATGAATGTTACCTTACTGTATAAATAAATATGAGTTTGTTTGTTTGTATTTTCCATAACAGGTGAGAGGGGCATTGCAGGGAGACAAAAAAAAAAACAAAAAAAAACAAACAAACAGTTCATAAACACTTAATGCTTTAGATCCAAACATGTCGGCAAACCAGGATGTGTTCTTTTAATGTGTCTACTTCAGATAGACTTGTAAAGTAGGAGAGTAGGACAGTAGTTATTCACTTCACTTGCAAACACAGTTAATACTTACTCATTTAGATCAAATAAATTGCAGCAATACAATGAAATATTCCCAGACACGCTCTGCAATAAACAGAGAGAGCAATGTAAGATTTATTACACAAGCAAGGTTTTCCGGCATACACACATTATACTGTGAACAAACCTTACACTAGATTGAAAAGGAAGTTTAGTAATTCTTTGTAGGATTCCTACATACTCATCGGACCCAAAGGGACTATGTACCAATGAGGGACTTTCATACCCTGTAGTAGTGTTTGTATGTGCAGGCTCCATGCCCATTAAACAAACAGTATCTCTAGTTAAACCATTGAGTTGTCCAGTTGTACTCGGATTTACAGCCAGTCATTGTCTAATATGAACCTAAGATTTAGATTCCTGCTCTTCTAGAGCCAAAACGCACTGTCATGGGTCACGGAGTCTAAGATTCAAATTGAAGGTGTAAGAATTCTGATTGCATAGGACTCCATGGCTAAGAAGGAATATAGATATAGATCTCAGGTATTTAATTATCTTGTGAAAGAGAAGATAGATGTATGCATGCTACAAGTAACACACTATCGCCAAGGGGAGAAGTTAAGCCAGGGAGGCAAGAGATATCCAACTATTATCCATGCTTCGATGTCTTTTTTTTTTTTTTTAAAGAGAGGGGTGGCTATAATAATTTCTAAAAAAGAGTTACATGGGAGACTCTATACCAAGAATTAGACCCAGAAGGAAAATCTATGAATTTATGATTTTGGTTTGCAAGATTAATGAGGTGAAATACAGATAATATTTACCTCCCTAATGTTTCCCCAGTCCCACTTCAAAACAAAATATTGGAAAAAGCCAAAAAGGGTCAAAACAGGGCTATATATTGTCGTTGGTGACTTTAATTGTGTCCTTGATACAAACTATTAAACGGAAGTGTTATAAATAAAAAGTAATAAAATATGCTAAATCATTAACCAATGCCTTAATAGTCATAATCTCTTTGATACATGGCGAGTTTCTAATCCAGAATTAAGGGACTATACACACCTCTCTAGCGTTTATTTTACATATTCAAGGATCGATATGGTTTGGGGTGACCTGAATTTAGTAGAAAATCTTAAAAATATAAAAATTGTAGATAATACATGGTCAGACCATAGTACATATCTCTTTGATATAAAAGATAGTCTCTCGATGAAGAGTAAAACTATGTGGAAATTAAATGATTTTTTTGCTGCATAATAAAGATAGAGATAAATTAGAAAGACTAATTGATTGTTATTTTAAGGAGAATGATCCCTTAGATAGATCTTCCTGGATGACGTACTGTGCGTTTAATGCTGTCTTGAGAGGTTATCTAATTAAAATGAACCATGATTACTATAAAAATAAAGCTAAATAGGTGTCTGATCTATATATTTCTCTGTATAATTTATCCACAGAAATAAGAGGCAGATCCCTCGCCTGAAAAGGCCAGGGAAATTATAGATATACAGGATAAAATCTCACAATTTTTAAATAATAGAATTCTAAAAAATATTAATAAATAAAAGCTCAAATTCTACTGTAGAAGCAATAAAAATGCTAACCAACAAGCTCAGAAAGCAACTAGCCAATTCGCGCATAACAAAGATAGTTTATAACAACGAAACATTTATAAATTCTAAGGACATTGGAAACAGTTTTAAGCATTATTATGGGAAATTATATAATCTCCCAGAAGATACACAGTTGGATTCTATAAATCAATATCTACTCAATACCAAGTTTCCAAAGATCAATCGGTTGCAATCAATCAGCCTTAATAGACTTATTAATGTAGATGAAGTAGAAATTGCTATTTCCAAACTGCAAAAGTCTAAGACACCTGGACCAGACGGATTTACTAATTTATTTTTTCACACCTACAAATCCCAGCTGAGCAGACACTTGACCCCAACGTTTAATAATGCGGTTCAGACAGGCAGCATCCCCGATGAAATAACTAGATTTTGGAACATGGTAAAAATCATATGGAGATCGCTAGCTACCATCCCATTTCTTTAATAAATACCAAAGTCAAAATATTTTTATCCATTTTAGCAAAACGCCTCAAAGACGTAATAAAGAAATTAATTCATATTGATCAAATTGGTTTTATACCAGGCAGATGGTCAGGTTCTAATAAAAGAAGAGTCATAAATATCCTTGATAGCTCCAAAAAGAAAAACATACCACTCCTTTCCATAGCATTCGAAGCTAAAAAAGCATTCGACAGGTTAAGCTGGAAATTCCTTGAACAGGTATTATTATCTTATAATATCAGTGGATCGATGCTAAATGCAATTATGGCATTGTATAAAAATCCCTCTGCTAGAATGGTGGGGCAAAATGTTTGCTCAGATTGGGTTACAATAAATAATGGCGTCAGACAAGGATGCCCGCTGTACCTGTTGTATGTACTTTCCATTGACACGCTTGCGGTGAATATTAGAAATTAGAATATTAGAAATAATCAGAAAACACAGGGTGTTATGACGAGAGATAGTGAAAGGGACACTGTAGTCACCAGAACAACTACAGCTTATTGAATTTGTTCTGGTGAGTAGAATCATTACCGTCAGGCCTTTTGCTGTAAACACTGTCTTTTCAGAGAAAATGCAGTGTTTACATTACAGCCTAGTGATAACTTCACTGGCCACTCCTCAGATAGTTGTTAGAGATCATTCCTGGGTCATGGCTGCCTAAAATGCATCCAAACATTCAGTGTCTCCTCCCACTGTGTGCAGACACTGAACTTTCCTCATAGAGATTCATTGATTCAATTCATCTCTATGAGGAGATGCTGATTGACCAGGGCTGTGTTTGAATCATGCTGGCTCTGCCCCTGATCTGCATCCTTGTCAGTCTCAGCCACTCCTATGGGGAAGCACTGTGATTGGATCAGACAACCACTTCTGATGATGTCAGCAGACTGCTTGTTTTTTTTTGTTGTTGAGGCAAACATCATGCAGATCTACAGCTTCTGGCTCTAATACAGTAAGATGTTGCTATGTTTATGGGGGCATGGAGCTAGATGGTGGTTTTAACACTATAGGGTCAGGAATACATGTTTGTGTTCCTGACCCTATAGTGATCCTTGAATTAAAAACCAGATTGTACACTGACGATATTCTGCTTACAATCACTGACCTAAAAAATTCTTTAGACTATCTGATGGGTGAATTTAAGAACTACAGTCAGGTAGCTAATTACAAGCTAAATAATGCTAAGACAACTTTAATCAGTACTGGGTTAGATAATGACACAAGGGTTGAAATCAGTAGGAAATATGGATTTTTGTGGGCAAGTAGCACATTCAACTATTTGGAAATTTGGATCACCAAATATCTGGACAGACTGATGGAAGTTAATTTTATGAGTCTTTTGAAAATAACAAATCAATTACTCAAAGAGTGGAGACATCTGGAGATATCATGGTGGGGAAAAATTCATGTTGTGAATTCATACATCATACCTAAATGGAACTCTCTCTTCCATATGATCCCCCTCAAAATCCCAGAAAGCTGGTTAACAATCTTGCAAAACAATATTGAAACTTTCATCAGCAGAGGGAAAAAAATAGAATAGTTTTATCTCTTAAACCGACAGACTGCGGTCTAAAATTTCCCATACATGAGATTTTACTACTAGGCTAATATAATAACATATATATATATATATATATATATATATATATATTGTGAGCGTAAAGGTGGAATAGTGGTTGATGGGAGATACATCAGACCTGATTTGCTAAACAGCAACCAGAGGATTTTTCAGTTAAATGCCCCAGGGAGAGATGTTAAAGTTTGCAATATGCATAGCTGATGCTCTGCAAAACATGGTATGGGTCCCTGGGGCGGAGTATTTGGAGAGCAGGGTGGGCCAATGCTCCAACAGCACTAGTTGCTGTATAACAGACCACAGCTTGGATCTGATTTTAAGAGTTAACTAATTGGCACTCACCTGTAGCTACTCAATTAGTAGACAGGCCTTTAAAAGAAGAGAGCAGCCTGCTGCAGAGTGAGGGAGAAAAAGACAGCTAGGAGAGATTGTGTTTATTGCAAAGACATTGCTTTTGTTTGGAAAATTGGTAAGTGGGAAAGCCACCCAATTGCAGATAGCAATTACTGTCTAGTAAGAGCTCAAGTAAGAGCAAGGGATTTTGTTTGTTTTTGTTATTATTTAAAGTACCTGCTTTCTTACTGAATAAAAAGGAAAACTGAGCTGAAGGTGTCCTGGACTTTGTATACCCTAGAAGGCTGTGGTTACTGCAAGATCGGTGACAATCCTACCTGTAAAAGAGGTGGTTTGTTACATATGGTGGAGAATGCGGGCAGCCACGTAAGCCTGAGGGTAGAAGTCATTTAAAGCTCAACATGGAGGATGTTATCAAGGCTCTGATCCAATCCACCTCTGTGCAACAGGAGACTAACAGGAGAGCTGCAGAAAACAGTGCAGCCCTGCAGCAACTGGTGCTGGCCCAGGCAGAGTGTGCTAAAGTCCTGGCCAAAACACAAATGGAGTGCACTGAGTCCTTGGTGAAACAGCTTGTTGTGACACAAGCGGAGATGTTTAAAGTAGCCCGTGAGGAGCAGCAAAAAGTCACCCAGGGACTACAACAGGAAATCCAAGCTATCTCTGAAAAACTGAATGGAGACCCTGATGGAAGATACCAGGGGCCAAAGGTGATTCGGGCGAGCCACTATCTTCAGAAAATGACCGCATCAGATGATGTTGAGGCGTACCTTCTGGCATTTGAGCGCACTGCTGAGAGGGAGGGATGGCCGGCTGGTGAGTGGGCAAGCATACTGGCACCGTTCCTAAGTGGAGAGCCGCAGAAGGCATATTATGACCTAGAACCAGCCGATGCAAGTATCTACAGCAAATTGAAAGCTGAAATCTTGGCACGACTGGGTGTAACCTCTGCAGTACGTGCCCAAAGGTTCCACTCATGGTCATATTCTTCAGACAAAGCCGCACGTTCCCAAATGTTTGACCTCATACACCTTGCACGGAAATGGTTACAACCTGAAATCCATTCAGCTAGCCACATTGTGGAAACCTTAGTAATGGACCGGTTTTTGCGTGGTTTACCAGCTTCCCTGCGTCGCTGGGTCAGCCAAAGTGACCCCCATACAGCTGACCAACTGATTGCCTTGGTGGAAAGATATGTGGCTGCAGGAGAACTGCTATGTCCTACTTCACAGGCAAACCCTCGCAATCCTAAGCCCCAAGATTCTGCAAGACCTGGTAAGACTGTTCAAGGTTTAAGGGGAGCTGAAGAACTGCAGCTCTATACACAAAACACCAGGGGGGCATCCAGGTCTAATAGGCCTGGGAAAGGAACTAATTGGTGGTCAGATTGTACTGTCAAATGTTTCAAGTGCAAAGAGGATGGTCATATGGCCAAAGACTGTCCATTTAAGGATGAACCTATGGAATGCAATATGGGCAAAGATGAGGGAACACGTTCATTTTTGCTCAGTTGTTATGGTACTGTTAACAATGACTATGATAATAACGCTCATAAATGCTGTGTAACTGTGAATGGAAAAATGTCTAAAGCATTACTTGATTCAGGTAGTATGGTTACGTTGGTAGCAGAGTCTATAATACCTTGTGTAAAACCTGATCATGTACAGAAAATAGGCATTATCTGTGTTCATGGTGATAAAAAGGAATACCCCACTGCGGAAGTAAATATTGGAACCCAGTATGGGGATTTAAAGTACCGAGTGGGTGTAGTACCTAGATTAGCCCATGAGGTAGTGATCGGTAGAGACTTTCCTCATTTTCTAAAATTATGGGCAGCTTTACAAAAGACAGACCAAAATTTATCAGAAATGAGTCAGTCTGTCGAGGATAATGTGTTCCCTTTTTCCGATATTGACTTGGGTTTTGACCACTGTGACGGAAAAATAAGAAAAAAGAAAAAATACTGCCCTAAACCAGTATTAATAGGAGATAACCCAGCTCAAACTAGTGAGGAGCCTACTAATACTGCAGACAAGGATAAGGACTTAATTGATATTGGAATTAGTCCAGGTAACTTTAAAAGCGCTCAGTGGGAAGATCCCACTTTAGTGACAGCTAGAAATGATATTAAAGTTGTAAACGGGGTTGCTAATCAGCCAGGAGAAGCACTGCCGTTCCCCTATTTTGAAGTACAAAATGACCTAATTTACTGTGTAGAAAAAAAGGATTCAGACATCATTAAGCAGCTGTTGGTTCCTCAGACTTACCAGAATATAGTGCTAAAGTTGGCTCACAGCCACATATTAGGGGGACACTTGGGAGTCGAAAAAACTAGAGAGAGAGTCCTTAGAAGGTTTTACTGGCCTGGAGTGTTTGCTGCTATTACAAACTATTGCTCCTCATGTCCTGAGTGCCAGTACAGGGCTCCTTTCAAGACTTTTCGTAGTCCACTTGTACCCTTACCCATAATTGATGTGCCTTTTGAAAGGATCGCTATGGACTTAGTGGGGCCACTGGTAAAGTCCGCTAGGGGACACCAATATATATTAGTCATCTTGGACTATGCAACTCGCTACCCTGAGGCCATTCCCTTGCGTAATACCTCTGCAAAGTTAATAGCTAAGGAACTTATGTTGATGTTCAGTAGGGTGGGTATCCCCAAAGAAATACTGACAGACCAGGGGACCCCGTTCATGTCCAGAGTCACAAAAGAGTTGTGAAGGCTCTTGCAGGTTAAACATCTTAAGACCTCAGTATATCACCCACAGACTGATGGTTTAGTAGAGAGGTTCAACAAAACCCTTAAGAGTATGCTACGCAAGGTAATTGATGCAGATGGAAGAAATTGGGATTTTTTATTGCCATATCTACTGTTTTCCATTAGGGAAGTTCCACAGGCCTCCACGGGCTTCTCTCCTTTTGAATTATTATATGGAAGACATCCCAGGGGAATATTGGATATTGCTAAGGAGACCTGGGAACAGGAGACTACTCCTCACAGGAGTGTAATTGAGCATATAGCTCAAATGCAGGATAGAATGGCCACCATCATGCCTATTGTCAGGGAACACATGCTGGAAGCCCAGCAGGCTCAGAAAAACAGCTATAACCGTAATGCTAGAGTCAGAGTGTTCCAACCTGGAGACAGGGTATTGGTTCTGGTCCCTACTGTGGAGAATAAGTTCCTTGCGACTTGGCATGGACCCTATGAAATAATAGAGAAAGTGAGTGATGTCAATTATAAAGTCAGACAACCAGGAAGAAGAAAGCCTGAACAGTTGTATCATATAAATCTGTTAAAGCCATGGAAGGACAGGGAGGTCCTGGTTGCTTTAAAACCTTCAGAACCTCCTATAGTAGAGCCAGAGGTGAACGTATCTGAGACTCTGTCTGTACATCAAAAGCAAGAGGTCAGAGATTTCATCAGAAGAAATAGGGATGTTTTCTCGGTAGTTCCAGGAAAGACTAAAGTGATTAAACATGACATAATAACCGAACCAGGGAAAAGAGTTAACCTCAAACCCTATAGAATTCCTGAGGCCCGGAGGGAGGTTATAAACTTAGAGGTTGAGAGCATGTTAAAACTTGGAGTCATTGAAGAATCCCAGAGTAACTGGAGTAGTCCTATTGTATTGGTGCCAAAACCTGATGGCACATGGAGGTTCTGCAATGACTACCGCAAGTTAAACGCCATCTCAAAATTTGATGCTTACCCAATGCCAAGAGTTGATGAGTTAATAGAAAGACTGGGCAAAGCTCGTTATCTAACAACCTTGGATTTAACAAAGGGTTACTGGCAGGTCCCGCTCACTGAAAGAGCCAAAGAAAAGACAGCCTTTTCAACACCCAGTGGCCTGTTTCAGTACACTGTATTGCCATTTGGGTTACATGGGGCACCTGCCACATTCCAACGAATGATGGACAGAATTCTTAAACCTCATGTTCGTTATGCTGCAGCATACTTGGATGATGTCGTCATCCACAGTGCAGACTGGGAATCCCACCTCCCTAAAGTTCAAGCGGTACTTGATGCTATCCGCTCAGCAGGCTTAACTGCCAATCCTTCCAAGTGTACGATTGGTTTAGAGGAAGCTAAGTACTTAGGTTATTCTATTGGGAGGGGTTTGGTTAAACCACAGGAAGCCAAAGTAGAAGCCATACAAAAATGGCCACAGCCCCTTACAAAGAAACAAGTAAAGGCATTTTTGGGTTTAATTGGATATTATAGGCGGTTCATTCCAGATTTTGCTACCATTGCTGCACCCCTAACAGACCTTATTAAAGCAAAATCCCCAGTCATAGTTAAATGGTGCCCTGAGGCAGAAAAGGCTTTTAAGAGTCTGAAGGAAGCTATCTGTAGCCATCCTGTCTTGGTGACCCCAGATTTTTCCAGGGATTTTATAGTTCAGACAGATGCTTCTGATGTGGGCTTGGGGGCTGTTCTTTCACAGGAATACCAGGGTGAAGAACACCCTGTTTTCTTTTTGAGCAGAAAGTTAAACCTACATGAGAAGAACTACTCTATTGTTGAAAAAGAGTGTCTTGCTATTAAGTGGGCATTAGACTCTCTTAAATACTACCTACTAGGCAGAAAGTTCCGATTGATAACGGACCATGCTCCTCTGACGTGGATGTATCAGAACAGGGAAAGTAACTCCAGAGTAACCAGATGGTTTTTGAGTTTGCAATCTTTTAATTTCACTGTGGAACACAGGGCTGGTCTGCAACAAGGTAATGCTGATGGGCTTTCGAGGGTACACTCCCTGATTTCCATGGTCGCTCAAACCCATGGGTATGAGCTGGGGGGGAGGATATGTGAGCGTAAAGGTGGAATAGTGGTTGATGGGAGATACATCAGACCTGATTTGCTAAACAGCAACCAGAGGATTTTCAGTTAAATGCCCCAGGGAGAGATGTTAAAGTTTGCAATATGCATAGCTGATGCTCTGCAAAACATGGTATGGGTCCCTGGGGCGGAGTATTTGGAGAGCAGGGTGGGCCAATGCTCCAACAGCACTAGTTGCTGTATAACAGACCACAGCTTGGATCTGATTTTAAGAGTTAACTAATTGGCACTCACCTGTAGCTACTCAATTAGTAGACAGGCCTTTAAAAGAAGAGAGCAGCCTGCTGCAGAGTGAGGGAGAAAAAGACAGCTAGGAGAGATTGTGTTTATTGCAAAGACATTGCTTTTGTTTGGAAAATTGGTAAGTGGGAAAGCCACCCAATTGCAGATAGCAATTACTGTCTAGTAAGAGCTCAAGTAAGAGCAAGGGATTTTGTTTGTTTTTGTTATTATTTAAAGTACCTGCTTTCTTACTGAATAAAAAGGAAAACTAAGCTGAAGGTGTCCTGGACTTTGTATACCCTAGAAGGCTGTGGTTACTGCAAGATCGGTGACAATCCTACCTGTAAAAGAGGTGGTTTGTTACAATATATATATATATATATATATATATATATATATATATATATATATATATATATATATATATATATAAACTCAGCTACAAACAGTTCTTGTCTGATTTGGAATACTAAAAATTTTTAAAAATGGGAGTTCCTATTAAAAACAATAAAATACTGGAGCAAGTGATTCCAGTCTGGGAAGAGATTAAAAGAAAAATAGGGATTAAACATGCTGTCTTAGACTTCCTAAAGCTTTCTGTATTGAATCAAGCATAACTGATATATCTTTATCTAGATGGAGAGAGAGGGGCATCTATAAGGTATCCCAATTATTGTATTAAGATAAACTGATGCCCTTTGAAACCCTAGTTCAACAATTTCAATTACCTAACTCTGAAATCTTTCCATACCTCAGAGTTAAATATTTCCTACAAAAACATCTGACTCAACCAATGAAAAATGTCTCAAAGTCATTAGAATATATTTTTTCAAATGAGGTAGTCCCAAAGGTCTTAGCGAAAGCCATAGATGTGATTAGAATGATAAACTATTCAGATAATCTTCCCCAGAAGAAAAAAAATGGGAAATAGAGCTTAACTGTGTCTTAGATCATCGAAAATGGTGCAAAGCTTTTAACACTACGCGCAAACAAGTGCAATGTCTGAATTTAATGGAGACCCAGGGTAAAAGGGTATTAAAAAAAAAAAAAAAAGGGTATAAGTTGACACAATTAAATTATTATTTTGGTGCTTCATAAAGCCACGGTAAGACCCCATCTTAAATACGTGGCATAATTTTGGGCACCAGTTTAAAAAAAAAAAAAAAAAAAAGATATTCTTAAATAGTGCACAGAAAGGCTACAACATTAATAAGGGAAATGGAAAAGTTAGATACGAAGAAAAGCTAAGAAATTTAAATTGTTTATTTTAGAACAAAGAGGAGATGTGATTGTCCTATACAAAAATATACAGGGTCAATACATGGTATTGAAGTGACTTTGTAATTAGCCAGATGTGTTTCCTCCAGTAGCAGCTGGGGCAGAAGCTAACCTCTGTCCGTACACTTCTATTTGATGAAGTGTATACAAATGTACAGAAGTGTACAAAAGTACAAAATAAAATCAAAGACCTAAGTGTACCCATATGGTGGGGGACCAGTCTCCCAGTAATTAACCATATGTATTTTCTGGGCAGCCAGCGGCGGAAAACAACCCACCTACTTGATGGAGTGTGCAAATTTAGGTAGTGCGGAGATATGAATAGATAAATTCCTGAGGCGGTAAAGGTGAGGGGAATAAGTTTATAGAAGCTGACATTACACTTTGCATTTTGTGTTCTGATTCTAGAAACTCACCTTTTTATCCTGGCAGCGAGGACCCGGTCACCTAAACAGTGACTAGGACACTATAGCGTTAGGAGAACACATTTGTATAACATTATAGCGTCCCTTTAATTAGCATGTAATAAATAACAGATTAATCTGTCTGTTAAACTCTAAAATGTAGCAAATTAAAACCTTAAAAGTAAATATGAATCTAAAAAAAAAAAATTATAATAAAGTGACAGTTGGAAAATACTTCCAGCTATTTTAGCTTCCATTTTGCAATTTGAATTTTAATATGCTACAAGTCAGATCTTAGGAATAGTGTTGTAGGTGGTCTTTACTTATTACATGTGAAAATAAGGGTCTGTGACAATGCTGTTAGTGCATACCCCACCTCATTAAGCTTACATATCGCAGATGTAAAATAATGCTATATATATATAAGTAGAGATTGTAGCCGTATTAGTCCAGTGATGTAGATGTAAAAAACAGATAAAATTCTTATCTTGTAATACCTTTTTTATTGGACTAACAGAATTTTTTAATGACAAGCTTTCGGGAGAACCTCCCTTTCTCAAGTCTGAAGCATTTCTGAGCAAAACGACACATAGAATTCAAAGTTGAGTTGTGATACAGGGGTTAAAGCGACATGAGTGTAGATAAGACACAGGTTTGTTAGAAAATAGACACCATCTTAGCAGAGGGTCATAAATATCTTGTTGAAGAGAAGAGTAGGGGGGAGAGAGGGAAAAGAAAAACAAACAAGCAGACAGTGCACAGGATGATACACTTTATACATGCACACACACAGAAATATGTATATGTGAACGCATAAACATATGTATATATACATAAACACATATACATACATGCACATGGACTCATATACACAAATATAAATGCACAGTAATATATATAAGCATTCATGCATACGAGTATGGGAAAGCATAGGTCTACACATAGTACTTTGTATATAGATAGAATAAACATATAGGAATGCATTTTAAAGTGTTGGTACATATGACAGAACAGTAAGATAATGCTGGGAGAGTGTTCATGTAAAGTGTTGGTAGTGGGACAGGAATCCCAAATCAATATTTAGTCCTCTCTTCTTGCTGTTAAACCATTTAATCATTCTGGCTTCAAAGGCTTTTCTTTCCTGGGTATTTTTAAAACCCCCTTTCAGTACTTTGATTTTTAGGTCCTTCAGTGAGTGGCCAGGTTGGGTAAAGTGGTGTCCCACAGGAGTGCAGTATGATTCTTCTTTGTGGTGTTTAATAGAGTGTCTGTGCATATTCATTCTGCCATTTAATGGCTGGGTGGTTTCCCCAATGTAGCATCCTAGGTGGCATTTTATGCATTGAATCATGTATACCACATTGCTGGATGTGCAGGAGTATGAACCTTTAATGCTGTAGGTTTTATTGTTGTGTGTGGCTGTGTTGTCTGTGCATATGTGCTGACACAGTTTGCAGCGAGGTTTTTTGCATTGACTGGTCCCGTTTTCTTCGTTCTTACCATCAGTGGGCAGCCTCCTGTTGATTAATTTTTGTTGGAGGTTTGGTGGTTGTCTGAAGGCCAAAATGGGTGTTTCAGGGAAAATGTTTTTCAGAGTCTCATCTTCTGTTAATATTGGTTGTAGGTCTTTGATGATTTTCCGTATTTCCTCAAGAGCAGGGTTGTAGGTGACCACAAGTGGCACTCGTGTGCATATTTTTTTCTCTCTGTATTGTAGCAGGCGCGTACGTGGCGTTTTTACAGCAGAGTTGATTTGTTTGGTAATAGTCTTTGGTTTGTAGCCTTTCTGTCTCATAGATTGGGAGAGTACATTTAGATGGGAATTACGGTCATTAGGATCAGAGCATATGCGATGGTACCTAGTGGCTTGGCTGTAAATGATGCCCTGTTTAGTATGAGAGGGGTGGAAGCTGGAGCTGTGTAAGTAACTGCACCTGTCTGTGGGTTTTCTGTAAACCGAGGTGTGGATTGTGCCATTATTACATGTCACAGTTGTGTCCAGAAAATTCACAGATCTAGTGGAATATTCCATTTTTAGTTTGATTGATGGATGGAATGTGTTGAAAGAGTCATGGAACTGTATCAGTTTTTCTTTGCTTTCAGTCCAAATTATGAAGATATCATCGATGTAGCGATAATATTTGTATGGTTTGGTGTGTTGGTTATCTAGGAATCTCTGTTCAAGACTGTATCACAACTTAACTTTGAATTCTATGTGTCGTTTTGCTCAGAAATGCTTCAGACTTGAGAAAGGGAGGTTCTCCCGAAAGCTTGTCATTAAAAAATTCTGTTAGTCCAATAAAAAAGGTATTACAAGATAAGAATTTTATCTGTTTTTTACATCTATATATATATATATATACATACATATATATATATATATATATATATATATATATATATATATATATATATATATATTACACACACACACACACTATTTTACAGCTCTCAGCACTATTTTGATGCAATGAAACTAAATTTAAAAACAGAGGTTTAGGGTTACTCTGTATTCCCCTGGCCCTAAGAGTACATTATCATAAGACAAATAACATCAAAGCAATATTAAAACCTTAAACACTTTTGCTCCAGAAATCCCAGGAACTGCTTCTTCAACGTAAGGAATATTACTCTCTTCAAAAAATTCCTTTAATCCCAGTTCACTGACATCAACTCCAACAATTGTATGCCCCATTTTAGCTAACCTGAAACATGAGCAAGAGAATTAGAAGATGTATTGCAAATATGTTCTTTAGTGCTGCCATAACTTCATTTTAGAACAGTAAAATGTATGTTTCCTAATAGAAGGATCACTACACATGGGAAAAATATATATATTTTTTTAAAAGGATACTTTAAGAAGGATCGGAATTTATCTCTTTTTGGATTACATAAGAAGAATGCATAAATTTGCACTTGCGTAGTAATAAAAAATATTCACCTCTAAAAATATTCAAGTTTTTTCCCCCAACAAAAACTGGACAGCGTTATTGTCATCATCCCTACCATCTGTTCATGCCTGTTCAACTTTTCAAACACTTGTTGTCTGAAGCAGCGTAGTCGCTTAGTCTGATCCACTCGTTTTACTTGAATGTTTCAAAAGGATAAGTCCAGATGGACAAACATCTGTGAAAATGGCTGAATTCCAACCAGAATGGCAATATAATCTCATATTTACTATGGTCAATGCAACTAAAACCTATCAACTATTAATTAAAAATGAAGTTATTGCTGCCCATGCACAGGGTGTCACTGGCCAGTAGGTGTTTAAAAAATAAAAACAGCATGGGGGGAACTTGCTAAAGCTTCCTTGCTCCCAACGTAGGGGGTTTAATATCACACCCAGCCCCACATGTGTGGTGGGTGATGACTTAATATATTAATTAACTGTGCCCCCTTGCCATAACCCATGGGGCCTATTTAATAATCAATGGAGGGAGAGAGGGTCAACATGCTATTGTTCACCCCTCCACCAATGGGTTTTAGGTATGTCATATTGCCCCCTAAAGTAAAGGCCAAACGTCTCCTTTCATGCCCTAACCAGCAGCAAGGAGTTTCAAACCAATGGAGATTTGCCTGCATAGGAAAGTGTCTACAAGCAAGACAAATGAAACAAGAGAACAGGTGGACTGCAGGTGTGTGTTACAGGAGAGTAACATCCCATGAAGTGAGTTTTATATATTTTACAATGAATACAACATGTATCTCTGTGATAGATGATGTATTCAATGCATTGGGGGAGGTAGGGGTTACTTTAAATTTAATATGCATGCATATTACACAAACCGATTACAACATAATAAGATATCTGAACTTTTTTGAAAAAAATAAAATAAATAAATAAATATATTAACTCACCAATTCATGTCCACTGCTTTTCCACAAAGAGGAAAAAAAATCTTAATTTGTTTTCTGTTATTCACCATGTCATCTAGAAACTCAATAAGCAATCTTTAAAATAAAAAGACACAGGTCACATATTATTATAAGCTCTAATTGATGTACAAGATAAAGAGTACATTAAATGAATTTTAAAACCTCACTTATGAACATCCGCTTCATGAAATCCAATTTTCCTCTTTTCCCAATTGTCTATCCAGTCCTTCTCAGACAGCACTCTGTTTTGCACTTGATTTGAGCTTTCCATCATCTGTTAAAAAAAATAAAAATAAAAATCAACAACAAATAACAGGTAAAACAAACTTTGTTGAAATTTTGCATTATGTTTAAAAAACAAACAAACAAAAAAAAAACACCAGAGAGATGCAAAAGACGTACAACAAGTAGACTTACTGCTGTTGTAGAAGTACAATGACCACATTGCTTTCTCAGCCTAAAGTTTGGCAAAGCACCAAGGGAGTTGTAGTTCTTCAAGTTTAGGACCAGCACTAACTTACTGCTAATGTATTATTAATGCAACTTTATCCAGCCTTACAGGTGCTGGAATCTACTCTGAAATTTTGATAAATTTATTCAAATAAATACATTTGATCCTCTCTCTTAACTCTCCCTCACTGTGTCTGATGGTTGCATTCATCCACTAGCAAACTACGATAATTATAGAAGTTTCATTAAAACCATAGTCGGTTTGTATCATGTGCTTTATTCATATTCATATAATGATTGTAGAGGATGTTTTAAAGGAACACTAAATCCATCCAGAAATAGCAATTAAACACATCTCTCGTGTCGGTCTTCCTGACATCTATTAGAGGCGCTTCCACAGAAGTGATCAGGTAAAACTCAAGCCATGTGACACGGAAGCCCCCATAGGAAACTGACTCAATGCTTTCCTATGGGAAGCTTGGATGCGCACAGAGCGTTCACCATGCATGAAGAGCATTGAAATGGGCAGATGATGGAGGAGGCCAGTCCTCCTCCATGATGTTGCGAGGGCAGAGAGGTAAAAAGTTAAGTAATTCCTGCATATTATTAATTTTAATGGCAAATGGGGGTGGAGGAGAGGGATTAAGAACCTATAGCCTTAGCAACACAGAAAACCAATACTGCCTCTAAGAGGGTTATACACTTCTGCTTTCCTTAGAGGAAGTATTGTTTTTTGTTTGGAGTATTTGATGCTTAATATAGGGTTTCTTCCTTTGTTACCTTGCCTAGATGACCCTATCAAAACCCTTATTGTATATAGTGGTTCTGGTATAAAACCTTTAAAATATTCCTTAGCAATACAGGTTTGTATTCCTAACACTTATGTGTTATTTTAATATAAAAAGTGCAAAGGCAGTCTACAGAATTAAAGCGGCTCTGTCATTCCCTGGAAAAGAAGATAAAATATTTATGAAATACTTTGACTGTATTTGTGAATTTCTGATGGCTGTAGGGGAAAAAGCACGGTCTATGGAATGTCTTGCAGGAACTTCCATAGACCTCAGTTTTGTACATGTGTGAGAATACACAACTAAATACAACCCTGCAACAATGGGCAAATGGTAGATCCTCAGCGGGCAAAGCATTGTGGGAGTTGATTATAGGGTTGCCACCTGGACTGTATTATACTGGCAGAGCCGGTATTTGAGGCCACCGGGCCGGTATTGCAGTCATACCGGCAATACAAATGCCGGGATTTTTCTTAGTATAAACGGCGATTAGATTGCAATACCGGCGCTGGCGCAGTGTGTGTGTGGAGAGAGACAGGCATAGGAAGTTACAGCATCTCCCTGCCTCTCTCTACTCACTGATCCGCGGGTGAGCAGCTCTCAAAGAGAGTCCAGCCAACAGCTCAGGTAATTGAGGCATGGGGGGAGACAACTGGAAGGGCAGTCTGTAACAGGTAACACGGGGGGTCAGAATAGACATGGTGACACTAGGAGACACAAACACATGGGGACACTGAGACACTAGGGGAGATATGGGGACACTAGGGCATACAGAGACATGGTAACACAGAGGGATGCTGGGAGACACAGAGACATAGGGGCGATATGGAGACACTGGGGGACACATAGACACTATGGGAGACATAGGGATACTGAGGGATCCTGGGAGACACTGGGGGATCCTGGGAGAAACAGACACGGGAACACGGGGGGATCCTGGGAGACACAGAGACATGAGGACACGTAGACACTAGGAGAGACATGGGGACACTAGGAGACACAGACACAAAGTGACACTAGGGGGGACACAGACACATGGGGAGATATGTGGACACAGCAGTACTAGGGGAGACATGGTAACACAGAGGGATCCTGGGAGACACAGAGTCACTATGGGAGACATAGGGACATTGGGGGATCCTGGGAGATACAGAGACACTAGGACACACATACATAGGGATACTGGGGGATCCTGGGAGACACGGGCAGGGGTCAACAACCTTCGACACTCCAGATGTTTTGGACTACATCTCCCATGTTACTCTGTCAATATTATGGCTGTAAGAGCATTATAGGAGATGTAGTCCTCAACATATGGAGTGCAAAATGTTGCCTACCCCTGCACTTGGGGATACTGAGATACAATAGGACACTGTGAGACATGGGGACACTAGGAAACCCTAGGGTTCATAGTGTCCCTGTGTATCCCAGTGTACCCCAGTGTCCCCATGTCTTTGAGACACTAGGGCACACTGAGACACTAGGGGACAGGGGGACACTGATACACTAAGAGAAAGACACTAGGGGACAATACATAGTGTCCCCATGTCTCCCAGTGTTCCCAGGGACACTGAGACACCTAGAGACACTGAAACACTAAGGGAGACATGAGGACACAGACACTAGGAGACTTAAAGACACTGCGCTGTGAGACAGGGAGACAGTGGGAGCAATCACTCTTAAAGCAGAATCAAACTAAGTAGTTTTTTTGGTGATTTTATTTTTCTGTTATGTCACTCCTTGTAATTTACATATTGTGATGTCACGCAGTCATAATGGATATGCAAATTAGTATGGCCAGTATTTTTTTTCAAAAAAGGTAGCAACCCTAGAGTTGATTGATAGGTGTGGATCTACCTCCCCCCCCCATCCTTGTCAGAGGGGGGCAAATAAATATTACACCAGTGACCGCTCTACTTTAGTTCTGCCAATGTGGGTAAGGGATGCAGTGTGTGTATAGTGGATAGTGACAATTTACCTGGGGTCCACCAGGCACTCAAAGCTTCAACTCTGCTTTCTGATTCTCCCTTGAGCTAAGCAGAGCTGCTCTTTTTGGTGTCGGAGTGTCAGCTTAGCATTCAGTGAGCAAAGCCCTGAATCAGGCTAGGCTTACCTCAGGGGATACATCTTCCTTTTGCCAGATGCAGTACAGGTTAGTTAGCAAATCATCCTTAAAAAGACTATAGTTACCCAGTCCATTGCATCTCAATGAAGTGTTCTGGGTACCACGCCCCTATCATATTTACCCTGCAACTGAAAATGTTGTCACTTTGCAGGAATGGCAATGTTTATATCGCAGTTATCACATCTCTAGAGGCTGTCCGGAAGAAAGCCACTAGAAAAGCTTCTGAAGCTACAATCAAGTTAAACTCTGTTTAAGCTTAAATGACTCTCCTATTGCACAGTTAAAGGGACATTATAGTCATGAAACAATGGCTTAAAGAAGCAGTTTTTGTGTATAGATCATGAACCTGCAGTCTCAGTGTCCAAATCTCTGCAATTTAGGAGTTAAATCCCTTTTGTTTTTGTCCATGCAGTCCTAGTCACACCTCCCCTGGCTGTGACACACACCATGCATGGAAAAAATAAAATTAAAAAAATGGTTTCACTTTCAATTAGATGTAACTTACTTTAAAAAATATTATTGCCTGCTCTCTAAAGTGAACTTTAATCATACACAGAATGCGTCTGTGGGGTCTAGCAAGCTATCAACAGTGCAGGGGATAATAAAATTTTACATTAAATAGAATTTGCAATGAAGGAAGTGTAAACGTTAGCTACCCCCTTACAGGAAGTGTTTAGGAAGGCTGTGCAAGTCACATGCAGGGAGGTGCAACTAGGGTGCATAAATAAAGTGATTTAACTCCTGAAATGGCAGAGAATTGAGAAGTGACATTGCAGGGAAATGATCTGTACACCAAAACTGCTTCAATAAGCTAAACTTGCTTTGGTGACTCTTTAAGTTCTCCTCTGGTGGCGGTCATACTGGCAGCCACTAGAGGCGCTTCTGTGGAACAGACCGAGTAAAACTTGATCGCATGATGCGGAATGATTTGATGCTTTCCTATAGGAAAGTTTGAAGGCAAATGCAGTGCTCTATGAGAAGCATTGGATTGGACATTGCCTGGGGATGGCACCTGAGGGGGAGAGTAAAACTTTATTTTAAAGCTTTTGCACCTGGGGTTTGTGTGACCGGCTTACCAGTAGGGACAGGAACACTATAGTGTTCAAATATAGATTTGTATTCCTAATGCTATCATGTTCCTTTAGATGGTTGTTTAATCAAACCTGCATAACACATTTGGATGATTTTCTTTTTAGCTAAAACAATGGATATTCAGCCATCTTTCAAAGCAGCAGCAGTGATACAGATATATGAAAGCCTGAACCTGACGGTTTGAAGTTTTTTTTAAATATTACTACATATATAACTATCTTTAGTGTGAATACAATGGTGACAGTGAGAATATCACCAATTTACAATTCAATTCTGTTACGGTACCTCCAGGAACGAAATGTACAAACCGCCGTTTAGCGAGTATTCCCCGTTCGCAATAATGTGGTCGGGTAGCGGGTATAATAAAACCAGGCGAACCGCCAGTCAGGGAACACTCCAAACTCCCGAACGGTACCTGTACGGCTAATTCCCTTCGCAAGCCGCAAATCCACGAACGGCAATTAATAACCGAACGACAATATCTCCCAAGCGGCAAATAATCCAAGTAAGCAGTCTCTCGCCGCTGGTATCCAAATCCCCCCAATAACGAGACCAAGCTCCGCTTTGAGGGTAAAACACGAACTGGTTTACTGTGGGCTACCTGCCCGGTATTTATGCAGGTCTCCCACTTGGTGGACACTCCCCTAGGGGACCAAATGGGAGACTGAAATCACAGAGGGACATGGGGACATTCTGGACATACATCCCCACAATATTCCCAGCATGCAGTACAGTTCCCTCCCCTCTGCTCGGGGGATAATTGGGAAGTAATTCAATTATCTCCCCGAGCAGAGGCAATCGCCATTTTAGATACAAGTTACAAAAACACACAAAAATCCATAACTTAATAACTGCTGAACATTTTACATCAGTCTTGCATATCCCCAGATAGCCTGGATCTGAGGGCACATTATTGGAGAATAGCGCTCAGATCCCATTCGCACAGTTCAATCGCCATGGAGTCAAAGTCTCTTTCAGTTCTTCGGTATGCGATTGACTCCATGGGACGGCTATCTGGGTTAAGTCCATTCGTGTGGTTGAATCTCCCGAACGGCTGTCATTCGCATGCTTTTGTCGATTGAGAAGGGGAGGTCGACGGCTTCAGCGGTGTTCGGCTGAAAAAGTGTCCGTTTTCCGATCCATGAAATAATCGTTGAACACCGCTGGTCGTTCGCATGGACAAAATGGCCGCCGCCTCGTGGTCGACATACGAACGACGACCACCCGGCATTCGGTTTTTAATTGAGAAGTGTCTGTGGTTAACCGCAACGTTCTAATTGGGATCAATAGGTTAACCAGCAGCACACTTCTCTTCTGGGTGGCCGTCCGTTCGGTAGTTCCGTTCGACAAAACCGACATTCCCTTAAACAAAGCATACGAACGGGGAAATTCATGAAAACGGCAAAACAGACGAACAACGCAGTTATAATCCAGACAGATGGGTCTGTCACAAATTCCATTACAATATTCTAAATGTACACAGGTAGCCTAAATCATTATACATGTGGTTTTGCGTAGGCCCACCTATACCCCTGTAGTCCTTTACCACAGTTACCTCCTTGTGCTCTGCAGGGCAATCCGGAGTCTACGCTTCCTGGGAGTTGGGGTACATGGCAGTGCCTCCAACCCAGCAGGGCATCCAGGGTATGGATGCGAGGTCCCGCTAAGAAATAAAAACTGACACAGAGCCATCACAAATATAACTCAGTATTGCACAGTAAAACACCATGCAAGAATATAAAAGGAATAAATGCAGTCAAATAATAATGCAATAGACAATGAACTTCATTCACCCACAATCGATACTGCGGTTCACCCTAGAGGCAGTCGGGTACCATTAGTTGATGCACATAATTTGGGTTCATAATTATTGTAATCCACAATGTAGCTTGCGATATACCAAAATCTTCCCCAGGTAAATAAAACTGGGGATCAAGGTCTTTGAATGGTGTAAGCAGTTTAGGGTGCCCTGTTGTGAAACAATGGGAGAGGTTTTAAGCTTAACACTTCACAGTCTGAAATCAGATCAGTTCAGGTAGGGAAACACCTCCACCTTTAACTGCTGCTAAGAATACCTCTCTGTTCACATCAATCTCTGCTTCAAAAAGCTCTGTATACTGGGCTTCTACAGCTGTCTGCTGGAATGTTCTTTCAGGACGCACCAGCACTCCTCTAAGCATTGGATCAAGCAGGCCTTTCTCTCTCTGTATAGCAGGGGTCTTTCACTTCTGACCTCCAGCTCTGCACTTCCAGTGGAAACTCCAATGGGATCCTGCATATATATCCAGCCATGTGCCCCAATTCATAAAACCATAGCAAATGCTCTTTTTCTATGTCACCCTACCCTTTCCCTCCACCAATAAATTAATAAACAAATCAGAACCTGACTCAAGTGAATGACTAAAAGGCCTTTGCATTGTCTAGATCAGGCATTGTACAGCGCTGTGGAATTTGTTGGTGCTATATAAAATAATATTAGACTAACATGTGAAACGCACAGCACTGATTTGAGTTACTGAGATCTACACCCTAACTATGCAAGTACATCTGTCTAAAAGCTTGCTAAACTATTTGTTTTTTTACTGGTTGATTAAAAAATTTAATTTTATTGGATATCAGTAGTTTCGGAGTGATTACTTTTTTTTCTGGGTTTTGTTTTAGTCTATTTTTATGGCTGGAAGAGAAGTACACACAGTGATATATTGACGTTGCTGAATAACTATGACTGCATTATTCAAACAGAAATACATGTAAAAGTTTGACTGTATTTGCACAGTATGTCTTTAGTATTTAATTGCTCTTATATTTACTTATTCTGCAGTGTTTTAAATATTTACTATAACGAGGCTTTGCTAATTTGCTTTGAGTCTAGTAGAAAGCTAAAAAAAGGTAGGAGCCAGTTTATTACTATTATTATTTTTTTTTAAACTAACAAAAGCTTTATTTTCAACACCAAATATAATATATCTTAAAGGGACACTATAGTCACCACAACCACTGCAGCTTAATGTAGTGGTTCTGGTTTCTATAACCTGCCCTTGAAGGCTTTTCAATGTATGCACTGTTCTTAATATATTATGTGCATCTACCTCAATAAAAAATAAGTGACAGAAAAAAATAAAAAATCTAAAAATTGATGATCTCAGCCAAGGAGGCAGGGGGAAAAAAGGGAGTAAAAACACTTTTCCCAATGTGATTGGAGGGGGTCTGGTAACCTAAATAGTTAGTTTAAAACCTATTGAGATCTATTTTAAAATGTGTTGAGCGTACCTAGTAAACCTCTCCTATGCAGTGCAGCGTCAAATAGTTTTCAATGAAGCTAATCCTAGAACCTATGAGATCCAGGAAATATATTTTGACACATGAATGAATGTGAAGAGCATAAAAAAATCAAATCAAAAAAAATCAAAAAAAAAATCAGGTATTTCAATTTGTTTTTTATTAACTTTTTTTTTTTAATAGATAAACTTTACTCTTCCAAACTCAGCATGATTCAGCATAATTCTTGCTAGATTGCAAATCTATCTGCAATTTGTCTAGTTTGTAAACTATGTGACTTTTGTACCACTTCTACTTGGGTGTGATAAAATATCAAACAGTGCCATCCGTGAGTAACCCCTTCATTACTATAAGTTAAGCTGATTCCTTTATATCCTGACAGTCCTAATAAGTCCTCTGTCATGTAAAGGTTATTAAAAAAAAAAGGAAATGTAACATAAGACTCTCTACTAAGCACAGAGTTGCAAGGGTGAACTTGTTTTGTAAAAGTAAATAACACTAATTTATTCTATGAAATATACTGTTTTGTTTAGAAATAAGACATTTCAAAATTCTTCCTTCATATGATTATATGATTCATATAAATCATCACATGATTTATGAAAGTTAAAACACATTTAGAAAACACTCTGCTAATAAAAATGGCAACGAGGTAACTAAGCAATGTTATATGCATGCAGCAGATATGGTGTAGGGTATTTAACATTATAAAATAAGGCAATTATAAAAAATGACTATGCTATACCATACAGTATACTATCACTGCTGCAAAGGGATAAACAAATAAAATAAAAAACCTTCTAGTCTTTGCAGCTTTTGTTATATAAATATATGTAATGCGGTTATATTGTCACAAAACACTGTTGTTACCTGTTAATCCAAGTGAGGAGCCTGATTTCTAATATGTTGCCAGTCCAGTCTTGAATGGATAAAATGTGCTCTTCTTCACACATAAAATGTGTGTTCCTCCTCCCAAACAGGATTTTTACTCTATTAACATTTTTAACACTTCCCACTCTGAGTACAGTAACTGGCCAAGCCCTGTAGTCTTTTTGCTAGCAAATCATCTTCAGTAGAAAACAAGAACATTTGCTCATTTTCAAAACAATAGTGACATGCAGTGTGCACTGATTTCTCCTCTGATTCCTGCATTTTTATTTCTTTTCTTTTTTACACAAATGAAAATACTTGAGACAACAAATAAATAAATAAAACACATGCTGTTTTTATTTCTTATAACAAAATTAAGTGAATTCATGTACTTATTGATAGACCTTTGCTCTCCTTTCTGTCTGTTGGAGAGATTTTTATGCACTTTATAAACTCTCTTAACACTAACACACACACACACTTTTCATGATAAAGATAGAAATACTAGTTCTACAACTATTACAATAGTTGGTCAAGCATATATACAGGGAGTGCAGAATTATTAGGCAAGTTGTATTTTTGAGGATTAATTTTATTATTGAACAACAACCATGTTCTCAATGAACCCAAAAAACTCATTAATATCAAAGCTGAATATTTTTGGAAGTAGTTTTTAGTTTTAGCTATGTTAGGGGGATATCTGTGTGTGCAGGTGACTATTAATGTGCATAATTATTAGGCAACTTAACAAAAAACAAATATATACCCATTTCAATTATTATTATTTTTTTTTGAATTCTTTATTTTTGTTGTGCACGTTATACATCGTATTGATATACGCCCCAACGGCGTGTCTGAAATTGTACTTAAATTAAACAGTGGCATGAAATCTTGCACATTTTATATAGTTATAGCAATCATCCGATAGGCTAAACAGTAATGATTTTGAAGTAAAATGAAATAAAGAGGTTAACGCTTAACAGTGCTAAGGTAGGCATGTTATCACAGTTGTTCACATTCTTGCTAGGCCAGTGTATGCATTAATTAGACATTATAGGCAGGCTCTCTGGGTTTCGTAGGGGTGTGACAGCATGCATTAGCGAGTCAGATAATATACTTAAGATAAAATAATATAAACTGTGGCATGAGTTCTCGCGTAGTTTTATAAAATTATGACTGCCATCTTAAAGGTTAAACAGTGAGGTCAATAGGATAAATGAAAAGGTCAACATTTAACAGTGCTAGGATAGGAGTATCGGTCAATAAGGTGTAACATTAACATCTTAAACCTATGTTACGCTAAGGGTCGTGTGCAGTGGGGAAGACCTATTTACAAGATGTGGCACAAGAAAGAGCAGTTTTATGCCGGGTAAGTCCTGGTGCCTCTCATATGCTCCATAGGTAAGACAGGTGTCGGCTATCCCGCCCGGAGAACATTAAGAGGGGTAAAGACAAAATATTTTTAGGCCATACCCCCAACAATAACGGGGAGCCGGAGGGTTAGTCTAGCGATTTCGGATCCGTGCCCTCACGTGTGAGAGGGTTTGCAGCATCGATAGCAGAGCTGTGGTGGGATGTTCTGCCAGTTTCAGCCGATGTCCGTGCAAAGTGCTAGCCCCGGGCGTGCGTGCGGGTGGAGGTTGCAAGCTGTTGAGAACTTGGGTGTCGTTGGCGGTGGGTAAGAGGTGCGCCCTGCAGACTCTGGTCCCAAGTAGCTCAGGGCGGCGGGCTGGTCGGTGTCGGTCCCAGGGGGGCTCTCGTGCGTGAACTACCGTATGGTAGCTGGGTTGATCCTGGACAGTCCTGATCTTTTTGTGTGTGCTGCCTGAAGTATACCCGCAGACGTCAGGAGTGCTTCCAGTTCTTGGTAGCTCTGTGCTTTGTGGGATGTCTCGTTAAGGGTGAGTAGTACTGCCCGTGGGGTCCCCCAACGGTAGGGCATCTCCCTGTTGCGGAGATGTTGTAGCAGCGGCTGCAAAGATTTCCGCCAGGTAAGCGTACTCCTGGTGATGTCCTGGAAAAATGTAAGTGTGCTGCCCTCAAACAAATATGGGGTTTTGCCCCTCAGTGTATTTTGAAGTGTCGCTTTGTCCGATATGCTCTGGAAGCGTATGATAAGGTCCGCAGATGCGGTCACTGGGGCCCGGGTCGGTTTTGGAAGTCGAAACATCCGTCGAGCCGCAGGGACTTCGCCTGTTTTGGCGGGAGTAGGGCACCCAGAAGGCGCCTGATGTAGTGGGGCAGTTCAGTGAGGCTCACCGAATCAGGTATCCCCCTGATTTTCAGGTTGTGGCGTCTCCTTTGGTCCTCCAGTGTGTCTAGGCAGTCTGTTGCAGCTTGCTGCTGCTTTACCAGTTCTGTCACCTGGTGCTCCACCGCTGTCAGCCTGGAGTCCTGGGTGCTCGCGCAGGCCTCTAGTTGGGTGATCTTCGTCTGGGCCCCTTCTATGGCTGCTTTATAGTAAGCCATATCTGCTGACAGGTCTTTGCGTAGTTCGGCCAGCATTTCTTTAAGTTGGCTTGCGGTTACCGGGTCTCCGGGTGTGTTGGTCACTGTGTTGTGTTTTGGTGACGGCCTGAGGGCCGCGCCCTCCATCAGGTCGGTGTCAAAGTCCTCTGAGGAGTAAGAGGCAAAATCGTCCTCCAGCGCCATCTTGGACCATGCGGCCTGTTGCGTGTTCCGCAGCATTTCGCCAATATCCCGTCCGGGAGGGCTTTTGTCCGCCTTTGATTTCTTGGACTTTCTGCCCATGTTCTGTCTGCCTTCCGTGGGCAGGCTAGTAGGTAGGTTTCCGTGGATTTTGCTACTTAGGGCTCTATTTAGTTGAGTTGATGTCGGAGCTCGCTGAGATGCGACCGCTCCGTTGCGCTGCTGGCTCCGCCCTCAATTATTTATTATTACCAGTGAAACCAATATAACATCTCAACATTCACAAATATACATTTCTGACATTCAAAAACAAAACAAAAACAAATCAGTGACCAATATAGCCACCTTTCTTTGCAAGGACACTCAAAAGCCTGCCATCCATGGATTCTGTCAGTGTTTTGATCTGTTCACCATCAACATTGCGTGCAGCAGCAACCACAGCCTCCCAGACACTGTTCAGAGAGGTGTACTGTTTTCCCTCCTTGTAAATCTCACATTTGATGATGGACCACAGGTTCTCAATGGGGTTCAGATCAGGTGAACAAGGAGGCCATGTCATTAGATTTTCTTCTTTTATACCCTTTCTTGCCAGCCACGCTGTGGAGTACTTGGACGCGTGTGATGGAGCATTGTCCTGCATGAAAATCATGTTTTTCTTGAAGGATGCAGACTTCTTCCTGTACCACTGCTTGAAGAAGGTGTCTTCCAGGAACTGGCAGTAGGACTGGGAGTTGAGCTTGACTCCATCCTCAACCCGAAAAGGCCCCACAAGCTCATCTTTGATGATACCAGCCCAAACCAGTACTCCACCTCCACCTTGCTGGCGTCTGAGTCGGACTGGAGCTCTCTGCCCTTTACCAATCCAGCCACGGGGGCCCATCAAGACTCACTCTCATTTCATCAGTCCATAAAACCTTAGAAAAATCAGTCTTGAGATATTTCTTGGCCCAGTCTTGACGTTTCAGCTTGTGTGTCTTGTTCAGTGGTGGTCGTCTTTCAGCCTTTCTTACCTTGGCCATGTCTCTGAGTATTGCACACCTTGTGCTTTTGGGCACTCCAGTGATGTTGCAGCTCTGAAATATGGCCAAACTGGTGGCAAGTGGCATCGTGGCAGCTGCACGCTTGACTTTTCTCAGTTCATGGGCAGTTATTTTGCGCCTTGGTTTTTCCACACGCTTCTTGCGACCCTGTTGACTATTTTGAATGAAACGCTTGATTGTTCGATGATCACGCTTCAGAAGCTTTGCAATTTTAAGAGTGCTGCATCCCTCTGCAAGATATCTCACTATTTTTGACTTTTCTGATCCTGTCAAGTCCTTCTTTTGACCCATTTTGCCAAAGGAAAGGAAGTTGCCTAATAATTATGCACACCTGATATAGGGTGTTGATGTCATTAGACCACACCCCTTCTCATTACAGAGATGCACATCACCTAATATACTTAATTGGTAGTAGGCTTTCGAGCCTATACAGCTTGGAGTAAGACAACATGCATAAAGAGGATGATGTGGTCAAAATACTCATTTGCCTAATAATTCTGCACTCCCTGTAGTATCCATCAAATGGCTGAATGCACATGGATGATAGATGTAATAAGTAAAGGGCACTCTAAGCACAGTAACCAATACAGTTCTTAAAACCTGGCCTTTCTGCCCTTTGATAATGCAAAAGTAACACTTCCACATTATTCACCCAAAGCGTGAAGGACAAGTACAACCCCTCCCACCCCCCCAAAAAAAAACAAAGCAAAAAAAAAAAACATGAGTCAAAAGTCAGTAACATTTCAGAAACCGGCCAACATTTTGCGACTTGTCCTCTTCAACTCCGGTGTCTGTCATATTATTATTTTGTTGTTAATTACTTGCTGTTATATAACTCTATAAATGCAAAACAGCAAGGCACTGTAGAAAATGTTAAAGAAATGCTGATAACACTGACAATGAACATTAGTTATAGGCTGTGATCTTGTGAGGACACTGGCCAAAGCTCCTAGTTCTTATATCACCAGCCCACTTAAGCTATAAAAAGGCAAATCATAAATGCTGGAAAAAGGTATCCCCTAAAGGACCAGGGTCAGCATGTCCTATAGGCGACTTAGGCAGTCGCCCAGGGCACACCAGCCTGGGGGGGCGCTAGATTTAGGTGACCGTCAGGAGGGAAGCGCACATCGCTCCCTCCTGCCGGTCACTCAATGTAGCGTGGCCGGATGGCGCAGACCCTGCTGGACAGGAACTTCTGTTTCCTGTACCCGGCGGAATGACAGGAAGTGCTCACTCAGCGCTTCCCTTCAGTCCGCCGGCGGCTGGGTACAGGAAACAGAAGTTCCTGTACTGCGGTCCGTGCCGCCCGGCCACCCTACATTAGGTAGAACCATTCAAGGGGTGGGGGGAAGGACCACTAAGAAGGGGGGGAAGGAAGGGGAAATGACCACTAAGGGGTAAGGACCACTGAGTGTGGGGGAGGGAGGGAGGACCACTAAGGGGGGAAGAGGTAAGGACCACTAAGAGGGAAAGGACCACTAAGGGTTTGGAGGAAGGACCACTAAGGGGTTTGGGAGAGGGGCGGGGAGGGATGACCACTAAGGGGGAGGTAAGGACCACTAAGGGGTTTTGGGGGGGAGATGGAGGACCACTAATGGGGGAGTGAGAAGACCACCACGGGGGGACTGCAGATGGACAGGGGGCCAAGGGAGAGTACTAAGGGACAGAAAGGAAGAGCACTATAAAAAAACTAAAAAATAAAAATAAAGAGCTGCTCTGCTCTCAGCCCCTATCCTACCCCACAAACCCTCTCTTTTACACTACACACATATACAATGCATCCCTACTCACACACAGACACACCGAAACACACAATGCATCCCTTACGTGCCTACACACAGAAACAAAATGCATCTCTTACACACACACACACAAACACATAATGCATTCCTTTCACAAATTGGTATCCCTATACACTACATCCTCTACAATAACATCTCCTACACACATACACTCCACTCCACTCACTGTGAGAGCACTCATGGGTGTGCCATGTAAGTGGATTTATGGGTGGGCCTTTTAGGCATACTCACGGTCAGGCCCTGGGGGCCTGAGACCTTGAGCTGTGTAAGAGGCCCCAAAAAATGGAGCTGCTTCCTGTTCGTTAATTGTTGTGAGCACTGTTACAAACAAACAGTCTCCAGAGAGCCTCTTCTACACCAGACCTGTGGAACCAGACTGCAGCCCATAATCATCAGGTGGTAAGTAGGCAATTCAATATATTATTAGTGGCACTAATCTCTAATTTAACTCACATTAAATGGACACTATAGTCACCAGAAGCACTACAGTTTAATGTAGTGGTTCTGGTATCTATACCCTGTGCCTGTAGGCTTTTTAATGTAAACACACTGGTTTTCAGATAAGACACTATGTGCAGCACTGGTGTTGGCCCATATGGCAGAGCAAATCCTTGCACCGGCCCTGTAAAGGACATACACCTGTATAGTGGCACCTAGTCTCTCTAATGGGAAATATGGCAGGGTAACAAAAATGGGACAGATCCACAAATTTAGGATGGTCCAAACAAACTGGGACAATTGAGAGGTATTAGTAATTTTGTTGGATGCCCAAGATGGATTCCTAGTTCTGATCTCAACCAATTGGCCTTTGTCATGGGTATCCTGTGTTCTTATTTAGCAGGCACAGTCCTTATTTAGGGCCCACATTTCTCTATCACTCTTTTCTATCCTGATGTCCCTCTCTACTAGGACTTCCAGATTGTAGGTGTGCCTCAGTGTATAATATAGCTCAATAATAAAGTCAGTAACATGTTAAATCAAAATAAACATTTATAAAATCAGCCTGTGTAAATAAGATACCTTGTTATAAACTACAATTTAGTTGTATAAATTGTTATTAGTAAGCCACCTTAAAATAGCTTTACACCAGGCCACACCCCTACTCACAAATTCAAACAATTCTTAAAGGACCACTCCAAACACCTAAAGCACTCTAGATTGCTTTTTGAAGTGTTTCCTCTTTTTTCATGTTATAAAAAGAGCAATTTTTAAAGGAATTGTCACTTTTATAAATTTTGTTACACTCCCCCTGGCTTGTCAATCAATCATACCTCTCAACCTTGACTCACAAGACCCCTGTTCGAAAGGGGCGGGCGGGACAGTGCCAGAATCCTGTCACTAGCAGAGCCCAAATGTGCAGACCAATAAAGAAAGCGGGTCCACCTAAAGGATTGGCATACCCCCAATGGAAAAAAAACCCCATCATAATTTCATGCAATTTTTCATTATTAAACAGCGATTTTTATTTATTTTGAGTATTGGACTGTCCCTTTAAAGTTGGAATCTTGTACAGAAGGAGAGACTCAATGCATATCTAGTAAATTGTGATTGTATTTATTTTTGTGTTTGGGCTCTGGAGTGTCTTTAAAATCTAATAAAGTGTTTTGGTTTTTTTTTAACATACAAATCCCCATTGGTTTTTTTTTTTTTTTAAATAATGAAATTGTGCCTAAAATCAGGTGCACATATAGAATACAAACCTTTACAAAACATGGTCGTAGTAAGGAAAAACTTGCTAATATATAATGCATGATAAAATGTATGAAACAACTATTTATGTCAAGGAAGCTGATGCCTCTACAGTTAGTTGTTAAAATGCCTACAGCAATCCTTATTATGGAGTGTACTGAAACATACAGCCCTATTCAAATAATAAAGAAAAAATATATATTGGAACTCACTGGTTGTTAGGCGATTCTAGAGTATACGAATCCAGATGATTCATAAGTAGTTCGATACCTCTTTGAACTGTACGGTGCCCTTAACAAGCATGGCCGCCACTTCAGCTCCAACCAGTAGCCAGCTCGGCGCCATGACGCATTAGGAAGTGGGCAACAACAGAAAGAGGAAGGCACGGTGTGCGCATGCGCAGTGCCAATTTCAGGCTGTGCATTATTATAGTTGCAAGTTGGTTTTGGATCCTGGAGAGCACAGAGAGGAGGAGCGAAGCCGGACGTGCAATCACCTCTGTATGTGTTTATTGTGAATTTTATGGTTTATTGAATGCTTGATAAAAAGGGAAGAGCAGGTGGGACATGGTGAGAGCCATGTGGAGAGCAGGAAGGCATGGTCCTTGTTTACATGTTGGATGCTATTAACTGCAACCTAAGAGCATGGGGGGCGCTCTCTCATAGCATATTCTTACATAGGTTACAGGGGGAAGTTACAGGGGGATTGTGGCATGGGGGTCATATGTATCATGTATGGCACCTTGTATTATACTTGTTTTCATAAAGAAGTGCACAATGTACATTTCTCCCTTCTTTTTAGTCTTTCAGTGTTACTGACAGTATATTATAACTATTATAATTATTGTTGTTATAGTGTGCCAACATATTCTGCAGTGATGGCTGTCCAGCACACATCCACATGGCCAACATTAAAAAACAAAAATCAATTTTAAAAAATGATGCATCTTCTAGAGCAGTGTCTCTCAACCTTTTAAGAAGCACTCCTGCAGATCTGAACAATTTTTTCCCAAGTACCCCTGCCTCTAGAAAATAACTTATATTGATTTTAAATTCCAAATAAAATGTGTAGACACTGATATTCTGGTTAATCTGATATTGGAGCGCAAGCCTGATTACAGGCAATAAAGATTATTTTTAAAAAAAGAGATGACAGAATGTGAATATCATGTATGTAAGGAGTAGTGTATGAACTTTTAACCTGATGTATAAAAGTCAGGACACACGCACTCTCAGTGATTTGACACACACGGACATACAGACACATACACATTATTTCACAAACACTCACAAATTGTTATTTTTGTATTACTTTTATTTAACTCCACCCAGCCTCCATACTTTGGGAGAGTGGATCCTTTCCCTGTTGTCCAGTGTAGGGCTTGTGTAATCTTGGTGTTCTTCCAGCACTGTTCCCTTGCATGTTCTTTAGTGAGGGCACATGCTGGAGCAGTATTGAAAGATTACAAATCCCTGTCAGTCTCCATCTACCCCTCCTGGACACTTTATTTGGGCAGAATAGGCACCTGCCGTCCGGGTAAGCAGGTGCCTACTCTACCTTAGCGTACAGCCAGCTGCCTCCTTGGAGTTGGTATGGTGGCCAGCTTTTGGTGCACCCCTTTTCTTTGTTGCGTGTGCTCTTTGGGATATGTGTACCAATGGTTGAGAAACAAGAGCAGTACTTTTCAGATGAGCCCTTAAGATTACATTAGGTTAATATTTAGAGAAAACCCAGTGCAGAAAAAAACAGTCCAATACTGTTATAAAGACAATAATAAATAGTAGTAAAAAAAAAAAAAAAAGGCAAAAAGCATAGACAAGATATATTTCTAACACTGTAGGAGAGGAGCATTGGTAATCTAATGCACGTGCGAGGTGAACGCTGTGTGCATTAAACATCCCCCATAGCAGAGCATTGAATCAATGCTTTCCTATGTGGGGTTCTGCATCAGGTGACAGAGTTGTACACGGCTGTGATACTGACAGTCACTAGAAGTGGACTTAAACCTGCAATGTAAACACTGCAGTTTCAGAATATCTTCAATATTTTCTATTGCAAGGTTAAAAGGATAGTGATTCTGCATCAAGACCTTATCATTGAGATGAAGTGGTCTGCGTTACTAGAGTGTCATTTAAACCTCATAAGGGCGCATGATTGCCTTACTTCTTCATGGGTGTCCTTTCTTGAAAGACCAACTTTAGCGCCCAAAACTACTACGTGCTCTTTTTAAAGTGCATACAATTACATCTATAAATTTGAAAAAACGAAATGCTGCTTTTCTTCTCATGCCTTTTGTCTTTTAAACATTCAGAATAAAACACATTTATTTAATACAGTTTACATTTGATCTGTATTTAAAACAAAATTGTGATGACATTACCAGACATTTAATGCAAATTAGTGTAGTATCCATTTTATTGACATTTGAAGTTGGAATTGTGAAAAAATGTCAAACACATGCTTGGGTTATGCGGACAATGGCAGCACATTAACCTTTGATGTATACCAGAAGTGTTCCTACTCTGCACATCTTATCCCAATAAAATATCCAGTAAACGTGCTGGCTCTTTAATTAAATGTTACTGTTTGTTTCAGGTTCCTTGATTTGACTCTACAAGTGATTAAATCTTAGAACACAGCCGGGTTGGCGAGGTGGCAGACAATTGCTGTATGCATAATTCTAAACTTCAAATTTGAACTCAAGGTCACTATGTGAATTTTCACTTTTTTTTTTCTCCAGCTTACTGGATGCAATGTCAGGAGCAAAGAGTAGAGCCAAGAAAAAGGCAAATATCATTGAGATCTCATCTGACACATTACCTGTAAGATCATCTGGCAGACAGGTAAGATCTGCTTGTGTACGTTTATCATGGTGGTTTGAATTTTGTTGTATAGGGTGTGGACAAAACACAAAATTAAGAAGCATGTAGGAACTCGATTAAAATGTACGTCATTGTACACAGCATGTAGGAACTCGATTAAAATGTACGTCATTGTACACACAAGTTTTATTTAGTTTAAAAGTGCATACAATTTAAAGGGTTTCTTCAACCATAAAACACTGATACTGATATGGTTTTAGTAACTCCTTCTGTGCTGCCACCCCTCCAATAAAAATCCCTTGTTGAAGCCAAGTTTCCCTCAGCCCGATCCTCCTTGGCTAACGTCACTCGCCTTCACTGGAGTGAAGGGGGGGGGGGGTTGTTGCCGCCATTGGCTGTCTGGTGACTGGATGCTGTGCTTGCTGGTGTCAGGCAACCTTGTTCTGTGCTGGCTAATGGCGATACCACAGGTGGAATTAAACTTCCAGCAACAAAAGGGGTAGGTCCCTAGCAAGATTTTGGTGAAACCTGATCTGCAGCAGGCTGTGAGCTGATGGCTGAGTGTCCTGAAGCAGTGCTGGAGCAAATGACTGGTTTCTAAAGGATCTTCGTGAAGTGGGCATGAGGAAGAGATAAAGAGGTGTCTTAGTCCATGCCAGTCCAAGTCTGTTACTGTGTGCACGAGAGAGAGACTAGTTGCTGAGTGATCGGAGTCGGCAACGCGGGAGTGGGTCCAGTCAATAGGAGGGAGAGAAGGCTGAGGGTAGTTCAGGAGAGCAATAGCCCACAGGGAAAGAGGATCTGGTTCAGCAGGGAGCAGAGGAAGCTAGAAGGGAACGTTAATCACGGAGACATTTACCAGACTTAATAACTGAGTACAGATCAGAGCACACAGTGGATTTAACACCTACATTATGAAAGTAGCGAAACTGGGACCACTGTCTTAATGCTTTTTACATAGTGGTCTATATAGTGTATACAAATCATTAGTTTTGTTTTGAAAGCCTAATTTATTGTACATTTTAGAGCAATCCAATCAACCCTCTTATTCAACACTTTGTTTAGGTAAAGAAGAAAGCAAATGATACATTAGATGAAGATGAAGATTCATCCGAAAAGAAATATAGGAAGTGTGAAAAAGCTGGATGTACTGCCGCTTGCCCTGTTTGTTTTGCCAGCGCTGCTGAAAGGTTAGTTAATAATAGCTGAGGGTCTGTTGTAAAGCCTTCATGCCATTAGTACAGTATAGTTAGTCTACTAATTCGGTAAAAGCAATCTGTCTAACTGCGAGAACATGCACTTGGTAATCATACACATTTTCTATTGTCCAAATGGGTCCCAACAAAACTAGTCCACTAGGCCTGTGAATGAAGTTAAGGTTTGGACAGGAGTACACCTAATATATGGGTTCAGCAGCCAAAAGTGCCAGAAAATGTATAAATAGGAAGATAATACTTGAAATTAAATGTAAAAAATCACACACCCCCCAGGTGACTAGGGGTCCCAAAGCCCCTAGTCACCCCCCACCTCAATAAAATTATACACTACCTACCCCCCTCAGCGTAAAAATAGTGAGGGGCTGACAAAAACCGAAATACCTGTAAATGGGGAAAAAAAGCATACTTACCATTAGATGTCTTCTTTTTTCTTAAACCTTCTTTTTTGAGCCCCCAAAAAGGCCAAATAAAAATCCACAATTTCCATTGAATTTATTAAATTTAAAAAAAAAAGCGCAATATAAAAAAAAGTTTAAAAAAAAGAAAAATCTGACACTAAAAAAAAAATCCATGTTCACCCAGCGAAGGCACCGACAGACTGAGCTTTGCAAGGCTCTTCCCACGCCCTGCAATATGACTCAGAGCGCTCTGATTGGTTGGTTGAAACCAACCAATTAGAGTGCTCTGACAGGTAAATTGTGAGCCTTACCTGATAGGTAAATTTGAGCCTTGCAAGTTACCAATCAGGTAAGGCTCACAATTTACCTGTCAGAGCACTCTATTTGGTTGGTTTCAACCAACCAATCCGAGCGCTCTGAATCAAATTGCAGGGCGTGGGAAAGCTTTATATGGCTTTCCCCACCCTGTGGAGCTCGGGGGGCCAATTTCATTAAATAGCTCCCCACTCGTGGGGCTGGGAGGGGGGCAATATGTCCTCCCCTGTTAATTGATTTGGGGAGCCACAGGCTGCTCACTGTTTAGTAGACATGCCCCTACTCACGGCATAGTGAGTAGGGGCATTCAGGAGATTTTAATATCACTTATGCTATTATGATGATCATATTGACCCCCATAGAGTGAGGGAGGACATGGGGGGAGTTGGGAAGTGACGGGGAGCACTGCTCCATGCCGCTTCTATTTTCCCATATTACAAGTTGGGAGTTGTGAGCTGGTAGCTCCCTCCTTGTAATAAACTAAACGAACGAACAAAGAGGTATTCATTCGTTTGAAATGTCTATTCGTTAATTCGTATTTCTGACGAATGAATGAATTGACGAAATTCCTGTCCGAATGCCCAAGTGTTTAACTGGGCATGCGCAGGAATTTCATAGCGCTATCTAGTGTGGGCAGATGACGTGTCCCACGGGGACTTCATCTGCCCACACAAAGATGGTGCCGCCGAGGATCACATATATCATGTGCAAAAATACATAATGCATATAGTGCAAAATGTGAAAACACAGTTATGTACATATAGGTGCAGAAACATGATCACATCGATCATGTGCAATGTGAGCACATAATTGTGTAAATAAAAGTGCATAATGCAATCACCGAGCAACTGTAAGCACATAATCATGTGCAGATGTGAGCACAATAATATGTGCACATTGCCACATACATAAAGTGTAATTGTATATTAGGTCTATACAAGTGCAAAATAAAAACCACTAAGTGCAAATTACCTATCAATATACATAAACTTGTACAAGCCTAATGTATCCTCCTAGCAGACAAAAAACAGTCTAACTAAATATTAATACAAATATATTATAAGGAAAAAAATGCTTTAATATCCCCTCTGACGCTCTGTTGTTCTAAATTAAACAGATTTAAATTTGTTAACCTTTCTTTATACCTAAAATGTTCCATTCCTTTTATTAATTTTGTAACCCACCTCTGCACTTTTTCCTAGTGCCATAATATTCTTCTTTAGAACAGGTGCCCAACATTGCACAGCATATTCAAGATGTGTTCTTACCATGATTTACAAAGAGGCAAAATTCTATTTTCATCCTGAGAGAACACCTTGCGTGCTTTAGCAACTGCTGATTGATATTGCTTCTAGTTGCCTAGTTTGTTGTCTATAACTGTATTGTTATGCCTAATTCACTACTGTTTAGCGTGTCAGTTATTTTTTCACTCTTCAGCCATGAAGTGCATGACTTTACATTTATATTCTTTAAATTTCATCTGCCATTTGAGTGCCCAGTCCCCCAATCTATCTAAATGCCTCCGCAGCAAAGTAATATCCTGCTCTCATTGTATTGTTATGGGTCATCTGCAAACACTTAAACATCATTTTTAATGTCCATTTCAAGATCACTTATAAATATGTTGAATAGGAGTTGTCCCAGAACAGAATCTTGAGGTACACAACTTTTTTTTGTCTAGTTTGAAAATGTCCAATGATGACACTTTTCTGTACATCTTTAATCCAATATTCTACCCAAGAAGAAGAGTTTTCATCTAGACCAATGTCTTTTCGTTTGAACACTAACCTATCGTGTGGGCATCAAAAAGGCTTAATGAAGCAGTTTTAGTGAATAGAAAGATTAAAACCGAGATTTGATTATTTCCACACTTGGCTCCTTAAGTACTCATGGGCGAATACCATCAGGCCCAGGGGCTTTGTTCACATTAACGTTTTTTGTAGCGTTCATTTGCATATCTATTGCCATAGGTTCCTCCTTAATATATACTAAGGAAAGTTATTTAAAATGTCTGACTTTTCTTTGTCTCCATTAACTAACACACCTGTTTCTGATTTCAGTGTACCTAAACTTTCATATTGTATTTTTGAGATTGGTTTTACTCTCTTTGTCTATCACTTTCTCATTTGCAAGTTTTGCCCATCTAATTGCCTTTTTACATGCATTATTGGCTTCCTTATATCTCATATAGGATGCCTCTGATCTTAAATGCCCTTTTCTTATTTTTAATTTTACGTTCCCAATAAACCACATTGGTTTCTGTTTGTTTCCTTTATATTTATTAGCAAATGGTACATTCTAAGAAGTATACATTTCTATTATTTGTTTGAAGATATTCCATTGATCCTCAGTGTTTTTCACTAAAGCGTTTATGCCAGTCAATGAGTTGTAAAGCTGCCCTTATCTTTTTGAAATTTACCTTTTTAAAATAGTTTTTTGTATACTCCATGGGCATTTCATTTTTTGAGTCTATTTTAAAAGATACCATGTTTTGATCACTCTTTCCGAAGTGCTCCCCTACTGGAATGTCTGTAAAAAGATCAACATTGTTTGTTATAACCAGATCCAGACAAGCGTCCTTACTAGTTGGTTTGTTCCAATTGTGACATGAAGGTGTCATTTAATAGATTAAAACAATCTGATTCCCTTTGCTGAACTACTAGTCTATCCCAATTTCTTTCCGGGTAATTAAAATCGCCAATAATTAAAGTGTTACCCAGATGTGCAGCTTTCCCACTTTTCTCTAACAGCTGTTCTTCCTCCTCAATATAAACATTAGGTGGTTTATAATCTATCCCAACTAATAATTGATTTCCCTTCTTTTGCCCCACAAAAAATACTCTACTAAAATGCAGACTTTTCTTCCATACTTTGCTTGTGGTTGTGTGTAAATATTACAGATTGATTTGCATGACATTTAGGGGGCAGGATGGCTACACAGCTGTCAGTGGATCTTGTATTTTCACTAACGGCATATTGATAATGAAGGAAAAAGTGTGTGAACATATTTATACATGCGTATGTATTTGTATAGATCATTTTTTATAATAAACTCTTGAACTTGTGTTTTTTTTTATTTCTTTTCCTTAGATGTGCCAAAAATGGTTATACATCTAGGTGGTATCATCTTTCCTGTGGAGAGCATTTCTGCAATGAATGCTTTGATCACTATTACAGAAGGTAAGTTCTTCAGCATGTAGACCATAGGTTGATGAGAAACCATAATGGGAAGTAGATTCTAATTCACCTTTAAATAGCTGTGATCTAACTGGTGTGTCATCTCATCTAGAACAACTGCTTAAAGGGACACTATAGTCACCCAGACCACTTCAGCTCAATGAAGTGGTCTGGGTGCCAGGTCCCTCAAGTTTTAACCCTTCAGATGCAAACCTAGCAGTTTCAGAGAAACTGCTATGTTTACATTGCAGGGTTAATCCAGCCTCTAGAGGCGCATCTGCGACGCTGGAGGCATATTATCCCTTCATCACGCAGAGCGTCCATAGGAAAGCATTAAGAAATGCTTTCCTATTGACAGCTTGAATGCGCGCGCGGCACTTGCCGCGCATGCGCATTCGGATCCTGTGACGTTGGACGGCTCAGCTGACGTCGGCAGGGGGGGGAGAGGTCACCAGCGCCAAGGGAACCCGGCGCTGGATTAAAGTAAGTAACTGAAGGGGTTTTAGAAACATAGAATGTGACGGCAGATAAGAACCATTCGGCCCATCTAGTCTGCCCAATTTTCTAAATACTTTCATTAGTCCCTAGCCTTATCTTATAGTTAGGATAGCCTTATGCCTATCCCACGCATGCTTAAACTCCTTTACTGTGTTAACCTCTACCACTTCAGCTGGAAGGCTATTCCATGCATCCACTACCCTCTCAGTAAAGTAATACTTCCTGATATTATTTTTAAACCTTTGTCCCTCTAATTTAAGACTATGTCCTCTTGTTGTGGTAGTTTTCCTTCTTTTAAATATAGTCTCCTCCTTTACTGTGTTGATTCCCTTTATATATTTAAATGTTTCTATCATATCCCCCCTGTCTCGTCTTTCCTCCAAGCTATACATGTTAAGATCCTTTAACCTTTCCTGGTAAGTTTTATCCCGCAATCCATGAACCAGTTTAGTAGCCCTTCTCTGAACCCTCTCTAAGGTATCAATATCCTTCTGAAGATACGGTCTCCAGTACTGTGTACAATACTCCAAGTGAGGTCTCACCAGTGTTCTGTACAATGGCATGAGCACTTCCCTCTTTCTACTGCTAATACCTCTCCCTATACAACCAAGCATTCTGCTAGCATTTCCTGCTGCTCTATTACATTGTCTGCCTACCTTTAAGTCATCAGAAATAATCACCCCTAAATCCCTTTCCTCATATGTTGAGGTTAGGACTCTATCAAATATTCTGTACTCTGCCCTTGGGTTTTTACGTCCATGATGCATTATCTTGCACTTATCCACATTAAATGTCAGTTGCCACAATTCTGACCATTTTTCTAGTTTACCTAAATCATTTGTCATTTGGCTTATCCCTCCTGGAACATCAACCCTGTTACATATCTTAGTATCATCAGCAAAAAGACATACCTTACCATCAAGACCTTCTGCAATATCACTAATAAAAATATTAAAGAGAATGGGTCCAAGTACAGATCCCTGAGGTACCCCACTGGTGACAAGTCCAAGCTTCGAATATATTCCATTAACTACAACCCTCTGTTGCCTGTCACTCAGCCACTGCCTTACCCATTCAACAATATTGGAATCCAAACTTAAAGATTGCAGTTTATTGATAAGCCTTCTATGTGCAACAGTGTCAAAAGCCTTACTGAAATCTAGGTAAGCAATGTCTACTGCACCACCCTGATCTATAATTTTAGTTACCCAATCAAAAAAATCAATAAGATTAGTTTTAACCCCTTCAGCGCCACGGGAGGGGGACCCTGAGGGTGTGGGCACCCTCAGGGCACTATAGTGTCAGGAAAACAGCTTTGTTTTCCTGACACTATAGCGATCCTTTAATTATGTAGAACAAAAACAAAGAAAAGGTTTCCGTAATGACAGTATGAGATATGCTCACGCAGTTTATAAAAAGCTCAAAAGTGACTTTTTGCAAGAATACCATGTTTTCGTGTGAAATCTAACCATAGCTCACAGAACAAAATAAATGTTTTGTAATTAGAGGTACTCCTAAACATGATTGGTGTGTCTTTGAAATCAGTAATGAGCTATTGTTCACATCAATCTTCAACATTATACAAAGGCATATTAACAGATAACTGTGAAGACATATTTTTGCTTTAAGATAAATGAATAAGCTTCTCTTGTTTTCTGTTAAATGAAACTGCGGAATGTCTGTCTAGATTCCTTGACTGGTTTTAATACCTGCTACTTCTCTTGTCTTATTAGACTTTTAAAGGGATCCTTCAGGCATATAAGAGCTAATAGCCCCCCCCCCTTTTTTTTTTTTTAAATATCTTAAAATAATCTTTGTTATACCATCTAATTATTTGTTTTAACTCCTCTATATTTAAATTCAAATGAAATTCCTTTAGATAAAAAACAAAAGGTACTGGCGCTTGTATAAAACTTACATCTATGAGTAATATCTCAAAAGATGTGACAGTAGCAGCTAAACACCAAAAAGTGCAACTTTTCCAAAAAACACCAACAGATAATAGAAGATATAAAAAGTGGAGCGCTATAAAAAATAAAAAATTACCTTTAAAACAATAATCTTGATGCTTTTAAGTGAGTTATTACTTCAAGAACCTAGAAATTTAAATTGTACCAAATAGTGCAGCTCTTAAATAAGTAAAATATTATAGAAGTAAGGTTTATAAATAAAACACTCACAAACAGGGAGCTATAAGACCTAGCTCTGGTGCGGATAGCCTCTGGGTCCGTCTAGGCGACCCACCCCTATGGGGAATGTATGTCCCGTCCTGTTAAAGAGTCTATAAACACACGATAGGGTAGTACAATAAGGAGCAAGATTATAAAAATGAATGCCAACTCAGTACTTGCAAACACAGAGCCCCTGTGGCTCAATAGTAGCGTGTTGTGTAGATATAAGGCTACACTCCCCCTTTAAATCGATGTCTCTTAAAAGCCGGGAACCAAAGGAAAAGTTTGCATACATTTATTGAAACATATAATAAAACATATAAATAAAATAAGGAACAATGTCCATAAAAGTACCAGGACGTGTTTCACCACTTGATGTGGCTTCCTCAGCCGGATAAATGTTGTTGTGTAGATCCTTAGTTCCCCGGCTTGTGCTTATATACCCTCCTAACGAGGGAATGATCTTCATCAGTGGCTGTTACGTAATTATCATATGAGGTAATACATAACACATCTCTATGGTGATGAATCAAACATCCCGGCGGACACTCTCACATGGAGCTTCGTCGGGTCTTAATTGTCCTGAAGCATTTAATTACTTCCCTGAGTTCCAAGCCTCTTTCTGAGGTTGACATCAGCAGTGTTTTTGTCTTTCTCTTCCACGATCTTCTGAGCAATCTAGTAGTCACTGTTCGATCTGTAGTTCTTTAAGGGATATTCCTATAGTTCGTTCATACACAGGCTCATATCTCAAGATGTGAGTTCTTAATTTCTCCAATTAGATCGATTAGGAAATAAATAAACCTACAAGAATCACACATGAAGGGGTACAATAATATAGAGAAGTGTTAATTCATATCACATACTTAAAATATCACATGGGAATCACTACATAAGTGATAAATCACCCATAGTGCAAAACAGCAAGGAAAATAAGGAACCCATAATGATGACTCAAACAGTTGCTATATAGATAGTGCATTCAAAATAGTGACTATTTTACAACACAAGAATTGGTCTAAAAATTACATGAAAATTGTATACAAATTTTGATTTAAAAATTTACAGAAAAATTGAATTGATTTTAAAAATTACAGAAGAATTATATGAAATGGGAATTATAGAGGAGGACGATCAAGCAGGCGCCATCTTCTAAACCTTGTGGTTAAATTGTTCATAAACGGATAGATAACATGGTGCTCTACTTATCCTGACACGATAACTTTAGTGAGTTGAAGTTGGTATGGTGCCTAGAGTTTTTCTTTAAGCTGTGTTGGTGCAAGGTGTGTTACTTTAAATATTTTGATGTCTCATGTGTAATGTTACATTTAAGTATGTGTGTATTTAAGACTGCGTTTACTGCGCTATGTTTAAATAATCCAGATGTCACAGCCTGGGTCCCAATAATACTATACACAATATTTTTTTCAATGGCAAGTATACTCAAAGCATTAGCCATATAAATTTTGTCCATATGTTGGAAGGTATTCACTGGCTGAGTGTATCAGTTGACACACACGTCAGACCGTTAATGCTGTCCAAATCTGGACAAAATTGACTTTGCTAATTTGCAATAACAATATGCTGAGCACAGGGCCAGGCTGCAGGTGCTGGGAGAGCCACGGTTTGTGTCAAACTGAATGATTTGATACCGAACAGGCACATGGCACCTGGATCATAACCACAATATGGCATCATAACCACTGTAGAGCACTGGTGTTAACCTTGTATCCTGTTCATGTTCCATAATCAATAAAGGGGATTGTGTTGAAAATGTTTGATCATTTCACTTTAGGATTGATTCTTAATTTGGTTTTTTTCATGGCAACTTTAGTCACAAAGATGGGTATGAAATCTATGCATCTTGGAAAAGAATTTGGACAAGCAATGGGAAAAGTGACCCCAGCCCAAAAGCTTTCATGGCTGACCAACAGCTGGCATATTGGGTAAGAAATAAGACCGACATTCTGTATCTGCCGTAGATGATATTCCATTTAATAAATGTAAAGAAAGCTTTGTTCTTAGATCTAGGAGATGATTACACACGTTTCCTGACACATGATGTGTGGTTGTTTTCTTATTTATTTATTTATTGCTGCCAGTAGAAAAGCTTTTATTCTGTAATTTTTTTTCCATTTAGAACTTTATTTTAATTTCAAATAAAGACAGGGAATGGGTACAGAAGAGAAAAAGGAAGGGGCGGGGGGGGGATTCAGTACACAGTAATACATTTACAGCCGAACAGCAGTGCTCTTTTTATGTGCAACAGTAACTTAATAAAGTAATGAGGTATCTCTAGTAAGGGTTGTGTTAGGGTATTGTCTCAGTGTTTTGGATAAGTAGGATTTCAACTGTAGGTATGAATTTAGTGAGGACTGTGAATATTGGAGTGAATATTTAGCAGATAGACTTGAATTGTCTAGTAGTTTGTCTACTTCAAACAAGGGATAAAGGTGCGTTGCGCCCCTACAATGCCAGGGTACTGGGTTAAACATAGAGATAGAGTACGGCAAAGCTCTGATTGGGGTCGCCAAGGAGAGGGTGGGGGTGCTACCCAATCTGGGTCTGTACTTATCCCAGATGTGGAACAGGAGCTGGACCAGAGGGGGAAAGAGGGTCACATTTGGTCTGAATTGCTTCGGCGTCCAAAGCATATTAGTAACTTCATACCCTCCCATGAGGTCTCTCTCCAAGGAAACCCTTTGTGATCTGGTAGTGAAAACAATATGGGGTATGACCGGGTATGATAACACAGCCGCTTGGTAATAGGCCTGTTTGCTAGGCAGTGCCAGCCCACCTTGTTGCTTAGGGGCCTGTAACAGTTTAAGGGGTACTCGTACTTTACCTCCTGTCCATACAAATCTTCCTACATTTGATTGGATCGCCTTAAAATAGGACTAGGGTAATGTCAAGATTGGGTAACCCACACACAGAGTACAGGGAAACCGTAACCAGAATGAATGAATAAAAATAAATAAGGTGCATATACCGGACCTTAGAATAGCCGGGTTAACGTGTGCCTTAGATAGGCGAAAAATACAGATTCAAAATAGGAAGCCAAGGTCAAGGGCACCAGAGATACTCAATAACGAAAACACAAGCTGAAGTCAGGGGACCAGAAAATCAGAAAAGTCAAATACAAAGCCGGGTCAGTAACAAGAAAACCAAAACTACTTCACAGTAAGCACTTTTGGGCAGAATAAACCATGACAGGGCAATGATCTCCATAAAGAGGGAAGTTTAAATAGGGAGAACAAAAATCTTATTGGACAGCATCATCACCCTGCACCAAATCACACAAAGGGGTGAGACCTGTGAAGGGCAGATGATGTGGCCCAATAATATGACCTGTCATTTTAATGCTATAAAAAGCCTGCACCTACAGGGGCCTGTAATTTCCAAGGACTCCTGTAGGTGGCGTAAAGCCACCAAAAAGATCAGGAAGTCTTGCCAGAAGACAGATCATGCAGGGGCTGCTCTGCATGTGGTGCAACCAAACACCTCATGATGTTTACTGTGGCCAGGACGGGGTAGTGCCGGAGACTTTGTGGCTGCTGCACGGCACGGTTCGTATTTTCCGCATGTAGGGCGGCTATGGTTGAATGTAGGACATTGATCCTGGCCAGTAGTTCCTGCATGGGTTGCGTCTTATTGTTTGCGGAAAGTTTTGCTAGTATTAATCTGGTTTGGCTCTGTTTTTTGAGGTAGGAGGGTCTCCTAATAAAGAGCCCTCTGACCACTGCCTTATGGGCATTCCATGCTAGGTCATCCGCCATTTCTGCCATCTCGTTGTTTCGGAAATAGTCTGTCAAATCAGATTGAACTGACGCACGAAATGGACCATCAGTAGCGACTCATTGAGACGCCAATGCCCTTTAACCTTAAATTGAAACTCATCATGTATTAATAGGTGGACTGGGCTGTGGTCAGACCATGTGATCTCCTCTATCGTATATTCCGACAGCTGGGCCAGGGTGGCATTGTCTAAAAAAATGGTATCTATTTGGGTGTACCTGTTGTGGACTCTGGAGTGAAAAGTATAGTCTGCGTCCGTGGGGTGCAGGGTACGCCATGTGTCATAAAGCCCATATTATGCGAGTAACTTAGGGTCTTGCATGTGGTGGTCAATTGCCTTTTCCTACGTCCTGTGGGGTGAACTGTGGTGTCAAGTGTAAGTGCTTGGATAAAATTGAAATCCCCACAGAGGAGTAAGTCACCTGATTTGACCTTGTCAATAGTGAGGAGGAGAGAGAGTGAAGATACGCTTTGGAATCAGTGTTAGGGAAGTAAGCCGTTACCAAAGTGTAGTGTGCATTTTTGCACCTATAAGGATAATGTATCTGCCTTGTGGGTCTATAATTTTTCTGTTGTAGTATCAGGGCTACATCCTTATGGATGAAGATAGAAACCCCTTTTGTCTTGTTTTCAGAGAGGGCATGGATTTGGGTCGGGTAATTGTTATTGAAGATAGACGGTGTGTGATCCCTACTAAAATGTGTCTCTTGAATACAGGCAATATCAACTCCCTCTTTCTTTAAGTCCCTGAGTAAGAGACTACGTTTACCTGGGGTATTAAGCCCCTTGACATTAAGGGTCGTGATTTTCATATTGTGTTAGACCATTAAGCCGTAAGCTGGGATTTTTGTGGACATTGTATTGTCAGAGCTTTGTTGTCAGCTATTATAAGTCGGGCGGGTGAGGGAGGTGGCTGCCTCAGAACCCGGTGATGCAAGATGGGAGGGGGGAAGGAACAATATGGGGAGGTGAAAACCTAATAAAAACCGTAAACAAAATAGAGCCCACAAGTTCTGAGCCCTGGCATGTTGTGGCAAATCCACACACAGACAGTGGGGGTTGGCCTTGATCGACTCCATTTCTCGGAGTCACTTAGCTGGTAAGGTCCAATAGGAGATTTGATAGCTAAAAGGGTTATTTAGTAATACCTCAAGTATACTGCTGAATGGTAGCAGTGGAACTTTTTTTTATTTTATTTTTTTCATGTTAGTGGATTGTTTTAGGACACTTGTGCCTTTGGCTGTACGGCTCCGGTGGCATGACAGTGTTTGGTACGACTTGGGCAGTGTCAGAATCTAATCAGCTAGCGGTAAAGGTCATAGTAGGTCTATACAGTCATGCTATATATAAACTGTGCTTACAGTACAGGCGCTATAACACTCATAATAGACAAACGTCTCCCAAAACATAGGGAACAAAACACATAGTAAACATTACAAACCAGTTACATAGGCATATGAGACATATTAATAAACGATACCCTTCGGGCCAGGGCCCGATGCTCTCAGGCTTGAGACTATTCTGGTGACAGCCAGGGGACTTTAGCCGGAAAGAGTTCTGGTAAAGGTATACCCCAGTCTTTCAGCTTTTGCAGACCTTCCTTTTGCTTTGCCATGGTGTGGATCACCCCCTGTTTCTGGATGAGTAGTTTTGCCGGCTATCCCCATCTGTAAGTCAGGTCGTTGGACCGAAGCATGGTAGTGATCTGCAAAAGCGATTTACAAAATTGTAGCGTAGTAGATGACAAGTCTTTGATAATGCTGTATGGCTCAGGGAGGGCAGTGTTTCTGCAGGCATTGGTGATGCGCTCTTTCACATGGAAATAATGGAGGCGCGCTATCACATCCCCGTGCGACTGTGGCTGGGTCTGCAGAGGCGGTGGATTCTATCTATCACCAGCTGGTATGGGTGTGTATCTGGTATCAGCTCTTGGAACAGGTCCATCAGGTAGTTGGACAGGTCTGAGTTTTGGACTGTCTCTGGTATACCTCGGAAGCGGAGGTTGTTCCTCCTGGATCTGTCCTCCAAGTCCGCAATCTTGCGCCTTTGTGCTTCCAGCATGTCATCCATCACTGGGAACTTGTCTGCCAGGCCATTATGGGCTGTTGCAAAATCATCCAGCCTCTGTTCTACATGTGCTGGCCTGCATTTTGTCTGAGAGTTCAGACATTAGGGTTCTTCTGAAATGGAGCTTGGGGGGTTAAGGCAATGCGTCCCTTGAGTGGTAATTGCCAACATCTTGGATCGGGCTGCGGACTTCCCTGCTCTTCCCTGCCGGAGCTGGCACCAGGAAGAAGGAGGCTTTGTCTGTCTTGGCATGCTTGCCTTTACTCCTCTGGGACATCAAGAATGTGGGTATCGGCTATAGTATGCTGCTTGGAGCTCCGTTTATTTTGAACTCGTTAGGCCGTGAGCCGCAGGAGCTTCACATGCATGCGACTGGTTCGTTCAAGCTCCAAGCCACGCCCCCCATTCTGTTACTTTTTATATGCATGGTGCAAAAGTTTTTTACATAAATATACATGCATAATTCTTCCTTTCCGTGGCTTACAGTAAGAAAGTCATGTGTAATAAATTGTAGCATTGATATGAGCAGTTTTTTTTTTTTTTTTTATCATGTCCTTGCGACATGTGTTGGTAAAGCACTTCATTATTATTATATTTTTTTATTTGTTATTTCAATTTACAAAGGCATCATAAATGTTTATTTTTTATCCAACAATACATATTGCAAGAGGCAAAGCTTTACTTCTATTGGGATTGCCATTGCTTTGTGTCATCTCATTGCTGCAGAGGACCTAATGAGGATTTCATAGGATCTTCAATATACTTTTATTTTACATAGTGACAGCGCTGCTTTAAAATTAGCTTTCTATATCCTACTTTGTTACAAAACTGCCCTGGCCTTTATAAATGAAATAATCCAAGCACGTTCATTACCTAGTATTGCAATTAACCTTCCTGGCATCAGCCAAGGGATACAGGCTGCGTGCTGACTCATTCTTTTTGTATAGTCGCCTGTGCAGTATTAACAGCTTTAGTAAAAATTTAAAATGTTATATCACGTTGTAAGTATCATCTTTTGGGCAAATGCCTTGATAAGACTAGATTTGATGTCAATTGATTTATTTTTCTTCCCATTTAACAAGCTTTTAAATTGTGCATGTGGGACTATATAAAAATGTTGTAGTTGAAAGTATTTTAAATTCTAATTGTTTGGTTACATTTGACCATTAATTTTTTTCACTTTTTTTTTTTTTTTGGTTAAGGTGCAGTGCACAAAAATTGAATGTGGGAAGTGGCGACAGCTGACAAAAGAGATTCAGTTAACAACACAAATGGCAAAAACATACAGATGTGGCATGAAATTGAATAACTCGGTCAAGGTGATGCATTAGTTTTTTGTTTTTTTTCCATTATGAATATTGATTATTTTTGTATCATTTATTTATTTTTAAAAAATTCAATTTATCTGTCTGGGCAGTCACGCTAGGCCGTGACTGCTCAGACCAACTGCTGCTCCTAATTTGCCTGCTTTGTGAAACTGCAGTGGCAGGCAAGTTAGGTTAAACAGAAGTTGGTCAGATAACAATAGAGCTTGACCCAACATGGCTGCTCAGCCAGATCAAAAAGTTACATTTTCTCAAAAAAGATCCTTCTTATTAAAAAAAAAAAGTTACATTAAATATAAACTTAAAAAAAAAATGTTTTATTTAAATCTGACAGCTTTCTTTTAAGAATTGAAGCATTCTTGTCTGCTTTCATTAACTGTAGCAAGTGCATCTTCCTGCACCCCCTCAAAAATGGGTGGTGAACATTATCATTTGCGCTTTATTCCTTTCCATTAAAAACCATTGCGAAATATTTCATAAACTTCTGCCTAACAGGTGATACGTGTCCTTCTTTTAACTCCAATAGAACAAAAATGCAGTATTACCCTGATGACATCTTCTCTTAAATGCCTGTTGTCCATTAACCCCTAAACACACAGCTTCAGTTTACTTGTATTGTACATAAGGACACAAGCCCTTTTGGCATGCTATGTGTGTGTGTTCAACTGCAATTTCCATGTTCCTCATTTATTGCACCAACGCATAGTATATATATATTTTTTTAAAGGACAAAAAGAGCATTTTAGTAGTTTTATTTATTTATCACTTTCATTTAAATTTTTTCAATGTCATGTGCACCATTGTATTAAAATTTTATGAGTTGTACTCCGCAACATCTGCGTACAAAAATACCCTACTTGTAGAAAAGTATGAATCTAAATCCCATTTAATTCTAATTCTAAACCAAACCCTAATTATCAGCCATGTCCTAAATCTAAACTTAATCCTTATCATAAACATCACGCTAATCCTATGCCGAACCATTATCCCTTATCTTAATCCTAAAACTAGCACTAGTGTTAGAAAGATTCCCTTGCTGATTTCAACAGAGCTATCGGCATGCTGGCCCTAACTCCAATCCCAACCTTAAATATAATCCTAAACATAAACTTAATACTAATTCTAATCCTAATCCTCAGTAATGATATCCGTAACATTCTAAGCTAAACCAGTAGAGAGCAGGATCCCTGGCATGCTGATTTTGTCATTACACTGTGATTGGTGCTGGGAAACTGGCAAACCCCGGCATTGTTGGAGACATGCAGGTTGAACGTGCCAGGGTCTCCCACAGAACCGCTGCCAGCCCCAAATCACCGTGGCTGGATGTATTTACTCAGCTCTGGTGTTCACAATGAATTTAAGTGACTATATGCAGTGCTCACTTTGCGAGTGCATACAAATCACCAGTCCATTTTTAGCCACTAACCTTTTCACCTCTAGTTTGTCAGTTACTATTGTGCGTTCCCATTGTAAACTGCAGTGTGCTATAGAATGTTTGTAATGTAAAAATCACTACAATATTTTTTAATTAGTGCAGTGACATCAGCTTGGATTAAATCGAACATGCTGCTGATTAATAGATATTGCTAATATCCTCTTTAATGGTACTACATAATAACACTTTGTCCATATTTAACGGGACCCATTTGCTTAATTAATAAAATTAATTCACTGGTTTCGAGTTACATTTTTTTCCAACACATTTGCATAATTTCAACATTGTTTTGCTGCCACTTGCCAAGTATACAAACTGAATATATTTTCTTTCTACTGCAGACCGAGGGACCAGATCAGTGCTCAATGCCAGAGGACCTGGTAAGTAAACTTTATGAATTGTAGAAGACCATACATTGCATTGTTTGAAACACCCTCTGCAAATTTTAAATATGAGGTTAGCTGTGCACATTAAATTAAACACATTTACATACATTTTACTTGATTGCAATGCACACATCATTTCCAATACTTTCTCTGTATGCTTGTTTAAAGGGATACTCCAGTGTCCAAATACAAAATAAATAAAAATCACTGTTTAGTAGATATCCCCCAAATGAAAACGTGCATGCATCTACTAAAAAGGACACACTCTTAACACACAAAGCGTTTCAGCAAGCTAAAGTGCTTTAGGGGTCTAATGTTCTTTTAAAATGTTCTTTTAGTATTCCAGTAACATCCTCTGTTATATACCTGTGATAGTTCAATATGTTCCAAATTGTAGACAGAATATTTGACAAAAAAAAAAATCTGAATTATAATCCCTTTTTTCCATTAATTCCTTTGACCTGCAGAGAGTTTCTGAAGTACAGACCCAATCCTGGTATTCCATGCTCATTCTCCCTCCACTGCTGAAGGACAGCCCTGCAGCTGAATTGTTGGCTGCCTACTACCCAGACTGTGTGGGCATGAGCCCATCCTGTACCAGCACTAATCGCCTTCTTGGAGAAGACCATTCTGCGAAAATGGAGCACTGTAGAGGTGTTTCATCTCCTAACTCAGCCAGTATGAACTCTACACTCTTTTGTTTTGTATAGAAATGAGCGAGAGAATATTTTAAAAATGTTTAGAATATCAAATCCCAACCACTGACATATTTTTGGGGCACACTGTAGTCATGTATTGTGGCATGATTTTGTGTATTGCTTAGTGGGTAGTTAGACAGTAATCATAATGTTTGGGATCTTTATTATATCTTACCTTGATTAGGTTAAGTGATTATTGAAACTTTTTCTGGCATGCATAAAATGACCGTGTTACAATAGTTAAAGTGCTAATTTACTTAGAGTTTTTCATAAAGACAGAATCTTAATAAAATCCCATAACTAAATATGGGATTTATATAGTTCGTGTCTGCATTGGAATTTCAATGAAATTCTAACAATGAACTACTTTGTCTAATGTATACAACAATGTCTGGCAATGTTTGCAAGTTATTGTTGTACATGTAATTACTCTGTATGTGTAATGTTTTTGTCTTAATGTTCACTATTGTTTACTAATCAATGTGCAATGATCATATGAAAAGCTTGAAACATTTCTTAAGTGATATTCCATGCTGGTGGTGACCCTCATTTATTTTTTTACATGCATTCTATAGAAAAGGAAGTGGTTCGGCCAGTCAGCTCAGTGGAGCTGAGTGTAACTCATCTGAGGTTTATGGGACATGTGATGTGATGTAATAGGATGAACATCAACAAGATAAATAGAATTGCTCAGTATTACTTCAGCTTTTATGACATTCATTGTGTTATTATTATTATTTTTATTATTTATATAGTGCCATCACATTCCATAGCGCTGTACAATGGGTGGACTATCAGACATGTAATTGTAACCAGACAATTGGACGTACAGGAACAGAGAGCTCAATGAGCTTACATGCTAAAGGGAGTGGGGTATAGTGACACAAAGGGTAAAAGTAGGGGTACGAAGTAGGTTGTTAGAAAAATATTCACTGAGGGCTTAGTAGGTAATTTTTGACAGTTGCAGGAGAGGAGTCGTGGGGTGTGGGGGATAAAAACCTGCTCACAGTTTAATTGATATGCTTTCTTGAAGAAGTGAGTTTTTAATGATTTGAATGGAGTTTTCTCACAATTGCTGCTCTGGATGTCAAGGGATTTGGGGATATTCACAGATTTTCCCTACCATAAAAGTTTTATACAGGCTTAACAAAAATAACTTTTGTGTCATCTGTCCCGAAGTGTTGTTTTTTTTGTTTACAAGGAGGCAGGGAATCTTCAGCACCATAACCTATACAAGGGACTTGAGTTATGTGACTTGGAGTGTCTATTTTACACCATGTTTGTAAATGACTCTACAGCCCTGGTGTTAGATACTGTAACACTTAACATTCTGTGCAAATAAGTAGATCATTAATACTCTGCCTGTTTATAGAATTTTGTAATTCATTTATATAGGTACAAAAATCAATCCGTACTTCCAACCTTTTTACCAGCCTAATGAATGTGGGAAAGCACTCTGCGTTAGACCCGATGTGATGGAATTAGATGAGCTTTATGAGTTTCCAGAGTATTCACGTGATCCTACCATGTATTTAGCAATGAGAAATCTAATACTTGCTCTATGGCACATAAACTGCAAGGTTGGTGATTTTTTTTTTTGATTTTTTTTTTTATATAAGGAGGAAGGTTTATGATCATGTCAGCTCTTAATGTATGGAATTCTTGTTTAAACATGCAACTTGATTTTTCCTTTATTATTATTAAATTAGGAGGTGCTCACTCCCCAGAATTGTGCTCCTCATATAATTGTACGAGGGTTGGTTCGCATTCGATGTGTTCAAGAGATGGAGAGGATCCTCTATTTCATGACTAGAAAAGGACTGGTCAACACAGGAGTCCTGGCTGTCTCGCCAGGTCAATACCTTCTTCCACAGGAATATCACAATGTAGGTTGCTTTGGAGATTCTTAGAAATAGACTTTCAAATATCCTTACCCATCTTAATCTTATGAGTGGCTCATTGGATGAAACAAGACCGAATACTTGTATTTGGTGTCTTTTGCAATAAAATATTTATTTATTTTCTTTTAGAAATCTGTAATTGTCATTGGGGCTGGCCCCGCAGGACTGGCAGCTTCCCGACAGCTGCACAACTTTGGCATAAAGGTAAATAATTCTCAAACATGGAATCCTGTATAGTTCTGTTTTGTGGGTTCTCCCTCCCACTTTTTTATTTATACATAATATACTCTTTTGTTGTTTTTTTTGTTCAGGTGATGATTCTTGAAGCCAGAGACAGGATTGGAGGGAGAGTTTGGGATGACAAGTCTTTTAAAGGTGTCACCATTGGAAGAGGAGCCCAGATTGTTAATGGCTGTGTCAACAATCCTATATCAATAATGTGTGAGCAAGTGGGTTTGTATGGCCATTCTATCTGTTGTTCATTAATGAACATTAAAACTTTGTTGTTTAACTTTATTATTGAGAAAATGGTAAGCATAACATTCTGTAAACACATGTAAAATAGTGTCAATAAACTCAGCACTGTAATGCTGATGAGATATTTTTTAAAAGGACAGGCTAAACACCAAAACTACTACATATTAATGTAATGGACAAAAGCAAATAAGTAAGGGATGGGTCTGCGCCAATAAACAGGGTAAATAAATAATAACAACAGTCCTGGTTGGGATAGTTTTGATAAAACGGAGTTCAGTAGAGTAGAACTTGGATCCTATGTATGGTCTCTGAAGTTGTGAGGTTCTGCTCGTTGCAGTATCCAAATATATAGAAGAAGGTGATGGATGATGAAAAGGATGATCCAAAATTGTAAAAATAGGAGAGGTCTTACTTACAGTTGGCAGAGCTTAATCCAGCTCTGGTGTGAATGGCATGCAGCGGTATTATCCCCACTTGTAGGATATACGGTGAGTGTCCTCTTCTATGTAGTGACAAACAACCAAGTGGGAGATAAAAATGGAGACAGTAATGGTGCAGTATGTTCCACAAGTAAAGTAAAAGATGTTAAAATATAGTAGATACACTCACATTCGGTAGAGCTTCTACTAGCTCTAGTGTTGTAGGCATACAGCGGTATAATCCCCGCTTGTAGGATATATGATGAGGGTTCTTGGAGATGGTGTCAGAGAGAAGATAAAACAGCAATAGTGCTCTCAAGAAAATATTGTTGATTTATAAAATATAATAAAATATACTCACAGTGTATAGGGCAGACTAACTGCTCTATGACAAGGGCATAGGTGATATAATCCCCACCTAGGATTCTTTGGAGTATAGTATAAATGAAATAAAATAAAAAAAATAAAAATATAGTAATATAAAAAGATATATATAAATAGCCAGGTAGTAGTCAAAAGATAATGGTACAGAAGTAAAAAATGACCAAAATCTATTTATTAACAGTATTTAAAAGCAGTACAATATCCAAACGTGTTTCACCATATAGGCTTTATCTCTCTGTTTTGTTAATGTAATGGGTTGGTGCATAAACCCCCTCCCTTTTTTGGGTGAGCAAAGTAAAACATTCCTATTTCTGAGAAGCATCATTATTTACATGTGTCCAAAAACACGACTCTAGTAGCTGTCAAACTGACCGTGGTCATCACGCTCATCGTCACCACATATAGCATGATCACGCAAGTACAGCTAAAGCCTCTGTGACAAGTATTGGATTGGACTGAGAATATCAGTCCTAACAGTCTCACAGAAGGAGGAGCTAAAGATGTGAGGAGACTGTGCCCAAGCTGGATTACAGATGCATTTTATGGATATTCGGATACCTCAGACCCCTTCTTTTTCACGTTTTGTTCTAGCCTTTTGCTGCAATTTATTTTTTTATTCACATCACTTGACACTAAAAACCCATAAAGACCAAGTAAAAAACAGATTTTTGAAAACTTTGCAAATTTATTAAAAACAAAAAACTTTAGTATTTAAACCCTTTGCTGTGAGACAAGTAATTTAGCTCAGGTGCATCGCATTTCTCATCTTTGAGATGTTTTCTAAACTTTGATTGGAGTCCACTTGTGGCAAATTTAATTGATTGGGTATGATAGGCCTGTCTATTCAAGGTCTCACAGCTATAAATTCTTGTTAGTGGGGAAAAAAGCCATGAGATCAAAACCTGCAGAGCTGAGAAAGGACACAGGCCCTGGGAAGGCAACAAAAAAAATCCCTTGATAAAAATTGGAGCCCAGGGATGGATTGATACCGTTACGTTCAGGTACTTGCAAAAACTGAAGGTTTGCATCAAAAAAATGAAATTCATAGTCCAGAACCGTTAAGCATGTACAATAGAAATGGGAACTTTCATAAATTATCCTTATTCTCCCCCCTTGACTATCAGTCGGACAACCTGTCCTGTTACTTCTCTGTTGCAATAGGCATGCACCTGCCTTGTAAAGATTTCTTAGAGAGAAGCATTGTGAAGTCTGTGATTGGACGGCCACAGTAAGTCTTGGTTGGGCTAGAAGAGGAAGGCTTGCAAAGGCTTCAGACAAATTAATTAAATATCTTTTACACGCGGTTTACAGATGTACCCACCATTGAAAAATGCATAACTAAATGCGTGTGTGTTTTCATGTGGGGTATATCTTCTAAACGGTGATTTTATTTATTTTTGTGTTTGCTTTTCAACTAGATTAATTTTCTTTTTCTTCAATAAAGATCGCGATCAAGATGCGTAAACTGGGAGAAAGGTGTGATCTAATTCAGGAAGGGGGAAGACTTACTGACCCAGCTATAGATAAACGAATGGACTTCCACTTCAATGCTATACTAGATGTTGTTGCTGAGTGGAGAAAAGATAAGACGCAGAATCAAGATGCACCACTAGGAGGTATCATGTCATGGACACATAATGCAGTGTATATTAGCAAATGCTAAAAATTATTTGTTTACATTCCACTTACTTATCTCAGTGAGTCTGATTTCTGTTTTTATTTTTTACATTTACTTGACAGATAAGATCCAGGAAATCTACAAGGCTTTTATTCAGGAATCTGGAATCCAATTCACTGATGTGGAAGAAAAGGTGTTACAGTTTCACCTCAGTAATCTGGAGTACGCCTGTGGAAGTAACTTACAGAAGGCAAGCTTTGTTCTGCTGATTGCAATATAAAGAATAGAAAATTATCTCTTGCTTCCGAAATCTAGCAATGCCTATGTGCTTTACAAAAACAGTAAAAAAGCACTCATTGTGCTTCTTAAAACAAGCTTTTCAGGATTCTGTAGAAATACATGATCATAGAATTGTAGGTGTGTGTTTTTGTTTTTTTCTTGATCGCAAAAAATATCAGTAATAAAGGATCACTATAGTGTCATTAAAACAAACTTGTTTTCCTGACACTATATAACTCTTAGGTCCCCCTCACCCTCCCTTGGATCATCACAGGCATTCAAACAGTCCATAGGAATGTTCTGCACGCTGAATGCAATTTTCGCATCCAGCGTCGAAGAAACGCCTCTAGCAGCTGTCAGGAAGACAGCCACTAGAGGCTGGATTAACCCTGCAATGTAAACATAGCAGTTTCTCTGAAACTATGTTTACATCTGAAGGGTTAAAACCTGGGGAACCTGGCACCCAGACCACTTCATTGAGCTGAAGTGGTCTGGGTGACTATAGTGTCCCTTTAAAATCTTTCCAAGATGTTGCTTATATCTTAACTAGAGTGAGACAAAAGTCAGGTACCGATATAGAAAAGTCTCAAAGGACATGAAATGACCTCATCAAAAAAAAGAAATTATATATATATTGTATAGTTTTGAACATTCTCCAATCACAAATAAAGGGCATTGGAGATAGGCATTCAAGGGGGTCAGTTCTGGTGTTACCTGCTAACATTGTCCATTGTAGTACCTGGTCGATTTGAATGATGAAGGAAAAAAACTGCTCCAATACTTGGAAAGGATTTATTTATTTTTGACTGGCATTTATAGACGCCAACATATTCCGCAGTGCAGGATTAAAACATAACTTTTATTCCAAAGAGCAAGGTAGTTAAAAAATAGTAAGTAAAAAAAATAAAAATAGATAAAAATCACCCCATACTAGTCGCTTAATGCATATTTGTGCTCAATAGCATCAAATATATTGAATTAAACTCATCATTTCCTTTATGTAAATAGCCAGTGGGTGTAAATATGGCAAGTCTTACTTTACTCCTTTGATATTTTGTTAATCTAACATTTTAAATGTCTTGCAGGTGTTGGGGTGGTTCCTGAGTTTTGTATCTCCCTTTTAATAAAATTATGAGGTTAGCCACCAACACTATGTACACTGGCGTACATATAGGGGTCGCAGCTGCGACCGGGCCCGTCACTCCAGGGGGCTTGGCCGCCCTGCAGACCCCTGCGACCGGATGCCTGCCATCATCATTTATGGCCCCTGCCCGCGCTGCAAGCCGCCGGGACCACATGTTAAGGTACCCATCGTGTGGCCCATGTTGTCAGGGCCACCGCATGGGTATGGATTTTCCACGGGGCCTGGTCAGCGCTGCGGCGCTTTAACAGCGCGACAGTTTCGCACTGGGGCCCCATGGGTTGTGTGTACGCCACTGACTATGTATACTTTCATTTCCATGATCACATTTATTTTTATTTTTTTTGTAAATTATATATATATTTTTTTTTTTTGCAACGATCCTGTCAGCTTACAGTAGAATACATTAAAGCTGAACAAGACACAGGTCATGGTACAGGCAAGTATCTGTAGGAAGATTGTGCGACATGTAGGTCTTGGTGTTAATTTGTGCACTGAGCACAGGAAAACATGTAAACTATATACAAATACGATCATGTCTTCCATGATCAAATTGTAATCACTCTTTATAGAGGTAAGGCTGATCTCCAGGTGCATCTGTTCAAACATTTAATAAAATCTGCTTTGAATTCAGGTATCTGCTCGTTCTTGGGACCACAATGAATTTTTTGCCCAGTTTGCTGGAGATCATACAATGTTGACTGGTGGATACGCTACGATCATTGACAAGTTGTCAGAAGGACTTGATATTCGCCTTAAATCACCTGTAAGCATTTAATTTATTTGTATTAAATCTGTTAACCTGTCAGTTTATGACTTTTACAGAATTCCATTGTGTAATATGTGCAAAACACCGTATGAAACAAGGGCACGAAGAGAGAATCGTAAATACAAGAAATGTAAAGCTTTTGTTTTATATCCAAGCAATGCCAAAACCACTCAATGCATCATAACAACCTAACTGCAATGAAGTCGTTATTGTGCGAAGAACTACCAAGAACATTTTGATTGAAAAAAATATTAACATAACATTTATTTGAAGCAAGGGATACATAGCTAGCATATAAACATAAAGTATAACACAGCAATTGTGTATCGATTACTTTGCAGACAAAAAAAATATAAAAATTTATATAAATTTACACAATTCTTATTTTTTACTTATTCGTTCACCTTTATAAAATGTATCTGGGGAATGAACAACTTTAGATGATATACAGTGTTCTTTATCTTGCAATATTTAACACAGGGTCTGAAATGTTAGTATAAAAAGCAAACATAAAATTTTTCTTGATGTAACAAAAGTAGATCAATACAAATATCCATGACTTCAGATTAATGTAATGCCATGGGATTCAGCATTTTTCAGTTTGACCTAAGTGACAAATCCTGTAAAGTATTAAAAGTCTGATGGATAATGTCATATTGCTTTTATAGCCGAATGTAGGTGCCCTCTGAATGAAAATATTGACAAATCACATTTATTTACACAGGTCCGAAGTATTGATTACACTGGTCAAGATGTTCAACTTACAGTTGCTGATGGGAGCACCTATACCGCACAAAAGGTCATAATAGATATGCAGATTTTTTTTTTTCTTTTTTTTTTTTAGGTATGAAAAAAGTGTGCCAATTGCTTACTAACAGGAAGTATTAATGACTGAGACTGAAGAATCTACTGTAATGTAATGGGTGGGGTGACTGAGGTTGATAAGAGTGTGATTGTTGTTTGCAGTCACACTTCTGTCAGTAACATAACTGTACATACTGGGATCTCAGTGATCCTAGTATGTATTGACTGTCTGAGAGAATGTGATTGCTGTTAGCATTTTCAGTGAATGTCAGATTTGTATAGACATTGTATTGCTTCTTCAAAACTTTAAATGTACAGAAAGTCAGCACCGGTAATCGGCCCGAGAGGTGACCGATAATCTGTATAAGCATTGGCTCTGGAAAAAATATGTTGGCCGATCCATATGATATATCTGTATCTATCTATCTATCTATCTATCTGTGTAATACACTTCTTTTCATAGAGCAGTTTTTAACAATTGCATTCTATGTAGGTGTTGGTTACTGCTCCCTTGGCAATTCTTCAGAAAGGTGTGATTCAATTTAACCCTCCATTAGCAGAAAAGAAAGTTAAAGCTATTAATAGTCTTGGTGCTGGTATCATTGAAAAGGTGAGTTACTCAAATAAATAATATTTTTGTTTTATTTTTCATTTTATTAGGATTATGTGTAATGCTTATTTATTTATATGGAGTACCTACACGAGATTGGTTTAATTTGTATGTGTGTACTAATACAGCTCTGTTTAATTTTTTTTCTCTAGATTGCCTTACAGTTTCCTTATAGGTTTTGGGACAACAAAATTCAGGGAGCTGATTTCTTTGGTCATATCCCACCTGACTCCAGTAAGCGTGGATTGTTTGGGGTTTTCTATGACATGGATCCACAGGTATTTACCATGTAACGGAATTATTTGAATTTACAACCAGTAATTCCCTTCTTTTGGACTTACAGCTGCATTATCAACATTCATCTTATGTGGAAAGTTTCTGTTTAATCAATTATTAAAAATCAAATTCAATTTCGTAAAACGATCAGTGTTTTTGGTTTGAATTGCTGATTTTCTTTCGTAAAAGTGCTTCAAGTCTCACAGGGAGAAAAGCGCTATAAAAATCGCAAATTATTATTAGTAGTATAACACTGACTAATCAAATAATCAGTGGATAATAGAGTAAACTATTGCAATTGAGTCATAGACATTTACTTCTATGTCTTGCTCCACAAGTCCAGCAACAGCTAACAATAAATGTCATAATTCTTTTAGGTGCTGCACCTGTGGAGTAAGATATAAGAGTAAGAGTCTATGACTTAAGTTATTTTTCTGTACTATTCCGGTGTAGGATATGGTTTCAGAAATTTTATTTTAGGATTGCTGCTTCTTTTACTTTTTCATTTGTTATTAATAATTCTAGGCCAATTATTATTCTGTTATGGAATGCTTTTTATAAGTGAATTACATATTTGTTGGTTAGATGAGGGTGAGTTTTTGTTACACTGCTGCACACAGAAATAAAGGACATTTATTTACTTGACTTGCCTAAATGGGACTTACACTACTACGTCTGCATTGACTTCCCAAATATCGTTTTATGGTCTATTCCCGGTTTCCACTAAAATTGCCTACAGTTATAAACTGTTTTGTGTTTTTTGTTTATCTAGGGTAAACATGCTGTCTTGATGTCTGTGATTACTGGGGATGCAGTAACTTCAATTAAAGATATGGATGATAAGCAAGTGGTGAAACAGTGCATGGTGGTACTTCGAGAGCTCTTCAAAGAGCAGGTACAGTGATACTTGGGCAGAGATTTACATGGTTTACCTATAAAAGAAGCAGCATTGCAACAATAAATTGCCAGTTTGCAGATTTCTTATCACCTTATCTGTTTACATATGGTTTTCTCTGTTGTCATTCTCATTTTTTGAGCTGTGTACTCTTAAAATGATAAACTATATGGTTAACAGACAGTTTGCCATATTTCTGGTGGCCACACTGTCACATTATTTGTCCCCTCCTGTATTGAGTATTGCTGAACAGCCATTTGCACAAATTGGAATGGTAAGTTGGCATTTACTTGATCTCGATGTCTTCTTTAAATTAGGAGGTTCCACTCCCAGTGAAATACTTTGTCACACGGTGGGCTAAAGATCCTTGGGCTCAAATGGCCTATAGTTTTGTGAAGACTGGTGGAACTGGGGAAGCATATGACATAATAGCTGAAGATATCCAGGGGAAAATATTTTTTGCTGGTGAGGTGAGTAAAAGAAATATATTGTTAAACCGTACGTTTTGCTGAGCATGCTATTCTGATATCGCATAAATTCATTGATTTTTTTTTTCTACAAGAGTATTTTGTTTAATTATTATTAAATCAGTGGGAGGCCATGAATAAATCTGAAACGTTGTGTTCTCTCTTGCGTCCTAATCTGGGACTGCATAGACCCTTCAATAAACTGAAGTATTTCATTGTACCATTTGGAAGTTGCTCTCTGTGCACCATAACTACTACATAGTCCTCTGAAGCCATTCCCCGATAGGGAGTAAAAACATTTGCAAGTGGTTTGACACTTACCTGGTCTACTCTTTTAAACTGAAATAGAGTTGATCCATACAGCACATATTCCCAAATCGACCCAGTTAAGTGTAAAGCCATTTGCAAAAGCCTTGACTCCTTACCAGTGGGTGGTGCCAGGGGACTCCTGGCGCCATAATAATTTCATTTAGATGTATTTATGGTGTTTTAAGTTCCTATTTGAAACATGTCCCATTCTCCTAATGGACGTTTTATTTTGGAATACAGAGACAGTGGCCATATGTATTGTGTGGCACACTGAGATATTACATATAAAGTGTGTAATAAAGGCATTTACCATACATTACAGTAGTGATACTATCTGTATGTTGTTGGAGAAATGGAGATTGTTCTGGCCAGGCAATGTTATACCAGTCTTCAGTGACCTAAATTGTGATCCTGTAACCTCTATCGATTTCTTTTCTTATTACTTCAAGGGTGGCCGCTATAGCTCAGCCACTTACGGCTCAATGTCTTACACATGTAAAATGCCATTCTGCACACACTACTTTTTAAGTTGTTAATTGTGGTGCATGTGGGCCTTTTGCTGTCTTGAACAATTCTGATCATTTTCCTCTGAATGCTGGCCTTAAATTCACTTACCAAAACATTACATAATAGGATTTATTCAGTTAAATTAAATGTGGTGAATCAAATTTATTTTGCCCAATATAGCCAATTTGTGACTATAACAGATTTAGGATTTTTTTTCAACTCTGTTTTGGCCTTGGTTTTGCAATTACCTTTACATGTGACAAAGTTGCAGCCATTTGACTTTTTTTTTTTTGTGTGTGTGTTTATGTAGTTATATGTATATGTGCATGCGTGCATTTAATATGTCACTCTTTTTCCAATGTACTCATCAGAATATTTATTTTTTCCTGACACTTATTACAGGCCACAAATCGCCATTTTCCCCAGACGGTCACAGGAGCCTACTTGAGCGGTGTGCGGGAAGCGAGCAAGATTACTACATTTTGAACAATGGGGCTTATTTTACAACAATGTTTCTACTTTTATATACTGTTTTGGGAAGCAATTTAAAGAATACTCAATTAATATCATGTTTGGATAAACATTACAGTGCAACTTTCTTGTTTACAGCATTTGTTATATATTTAATATTGACCAGAATGTTGGAAATCAGGCTATGTGTATTGAACATTCTACTGGGGTATTGTTCACATTTCCCTTAAAGAAAGCATTAATCAGGTAATGTACCTTTAACATTACTAAGGTAATTATTAGACTTTCACGTTGAGTTTCAGGTATTTTGAACTAATCAAATTCCTTTTCATATATGCCCAAAAAAATCAATCTGTCTGGGTTTTATCTGTGGAATCTTATGCAATGAATAAGACTCCACAGGTAAGTCTCGGATGGATCGATTAGTTCGGGCATAGATTAAAAGGAATTTGATCGTTCAAACCACCTGAAATACATTATTACGCAAGTCTGGTAATTCTGATAGTAAATTGGATTTCTGGGATCCCTACAATGGTGCTGTCATCCAATTGGCAGCTGTCTGTACCAGAAGTGGGTTTTTTTTTGTTCTGCCAAATGCTTTGTCTTATTTATTAAGTATTGAGTTATTCGAAGATATGCAAGTAAATGTTTAAATTAACATGTAAATTAAAATTTTGTTGTAAATATATAAAACAAAAACATACTTGGCACTAAATTCAGTTTTTCTTTGTGTTCAATTACTGCCAAACATGCTTATTACCTTACTACAGAGATACACTTTGTTTTCACTATACTTTTGGATTTGCTGGAGTGCTGAGCATGGACAATTTCATGTTAAAAATGTATGTTCAAAATAAAGGCATATCTTAAAAATGGCTCATGTTATCAGTACCCTCCTGAAAACATTTTTGTTGATGGCAATTTAAAATATCTTGCATTATTCGGACGATTGTAAAACACAATTCGGTTTTAGGTTTTGTTGAATCCACTCACTGTAACAGTCAATACATAATATGGATTATCTTTTCCTGTATTAGATATAATTTGCATTGTGGTGTTTGTGTTAAAGGCAGTATAACTAAACACTCTCAGGCATAGAAAGAATGATTAAGTGCCAATATCCAAACAAAAACAGAAGCTGCACTCTACAAGAAGAGGACCTTTAAGGACCAATGACAGAATAATGATGTTCTTGATGTCCTCCCCTTAAGGAACTATGATGGAATAATTCTATCGTGTGGTATTTTACCAGCAGGGACAGTTTCGCTGCTAGTAACTACGGAACCCCAGTTATCACTCTACACCTGGCACTCCCCTCTGTTGGCTGGGGCCAGAATTGGTAGCCCCACACAGGCCGATTAGTTTTATGGAGATATTTGACAAGTAATTGATATACAAAATATTAACTTAATGCGACACTGTCATGCCGAACTTTCTTGAATTGATTCCTCAGGAGGCAGAATTTACTAATACTAAGTAATCTTTACTTAGTATTAGTAAATTTGGCTGAAAGACCAATTTAGATCTTTCAGCCTTTTGGTAGATAACTCCCTATCTACTAGGCGGCTGCAAGATGCAGCCGCGGCACTAATAGGATCAGAGTTTCATTAATTCTAATGAAATTCCAATCTTAAAGTCCTGAAATGTGTCCAAACACGAATGGAGAAACGGTTCTCATTCTGATAGGACGCAACTCTGTAGTTTTGCTGGCATTCTGTCTAAATGACAGGACGTTCGGAAAAAGTGAAAGGAGGCTTCACGGGAACACTGAGGAAAGGTAAGAATTGTGGGAAAATTGCTCTGACCACCGGAAATGAAGCACACTTTGCTCCTCCGCTGGTCAGGCCTAGGAAACCTCCATAAGACAAGTGGTCCCTACTTTGTCTTATGTTTTAAAGAAAACTAGAGCAGACAGGAAGAAATGAAGAACAGATCCTGAGAGAGGAAGAAGAATCGATTAGAGAAAGGTAAGTTCGGTGTGACAGTGCCGCTTTAAACAAGTGCTGAAGAAGGCCCTGCTCAAACGTGCTTACAATTTGAAGGGGTAACAACACACAAGAGAAATAACAGCTGATGAGAGTTGGCAGTACTGGAACGAGCAGATGGCCGCTCATAGGAGAGTGCATATTTGTTAAGTAGAGGAAATGTAGTGGGTAATGGAGTTATTGAGGCCTTTATAGGTTAGTGTTTCAATTGGATCCTGAATGGTACAGAAGGCCAATGTAACTGCCAAAGGGGTGAGGTGTTTGAGTAGCGATCAGTCATGATGATGATTTATTAAATTCTAAAGAAGGGGCAAAATGTATTTGGGGGGCTGATGAGTAGTGCGTTCCAGTTGGGAAATGAGTGCATGAACAAGCGTCTTAGCTGTATCATGAGTTATAAAATAGTGAATGCAGGCAATATTTTTAAGCTACATGTAAGAGAAGATAAGTCAAAAGTAACTTAAGGTCAAACTTTTGTGGTTGGAGTAATAGGTATCTCACTGACGTACATCGAGATAGGGGCAGGACTATTTAAGGGAAGACAAGATGAGTTCAGTTTTAAATGATTAATGGGGTTATTCCATATCCAGATGGAAAAAATCCTGTGAAAATGACAGACATCCGACCACAATTCTCATATGTACTTAAGCCAAATTTGGTCTAAGTAAAACTGCCGCGATTCCCTGAATGCATTCGGTGTCAGTATTGGAAGGACTCAGATGTGAAAGCACACGTTTTTAATCCAAAGTATAGGATTTTGAATATTTACAAAGCAATGTTTTTATTATAAAACCAAAAACTGAATAGGGACTGAACTCATCCATCAAAGGGCACTATTTTGCAGAGAACTCTAATTGGGTATCCTATAAAATAGTAATCCCATATAAACATACTATATTAGGGAGGCAGCTACTAAACCGCTGCCTAAAAGATCGAAGGGCTTTTAAAATTTTTTATCTCAGCTGTTTAATAGCTCCCTAATTTGTCATCCTTTTGTGCGATTATCGTAATGAAGGGTACCAAGTTAGGGACTTGTCTACTAAGTAACTGAAGCAGCGAAATTAAGAAAATTACAACCCTCCTCCCAAATTTTATCCTTTCAGCTATTAAGTAGATAGCGCTCACATTTGGGATGTGTGCAAAGTATACATGAAATGCCCACCTAGTAGATGTGTTATTGCAGATTACAGCACTGGAATGGTTAATTTGGCTGTTCAGTTAGAAAAAAATCAGACATCTGTTGGCACAGCAGGAAGAGGGTTATAGATAAGGCATCTTTCTGCTAAGCCAACATTCCTTTGTGGGCATGTGTGAAACTGCACCCATAGGTCATTCATGTTCACTCTTACCCAGACTTTCGGACTACACAATATTGGTGCTTTTACTTGGATCTCTCATCTTCTGATATGCTGACAATTAGTCAGGAAACAAGATTCTGCTGAGGGTCTTAACTAAAAAGCAATAATAATCTAGAGACGAAGAATCATGCCCGCTGTCATATATATTCAGAACAGAGAGCTCATGCCCTAGAAAAGCAAGAAGTCAAAACATAACTAATGCACCTTGAGCCATTTGATGGAACTGGGGAAATCCAATCGTAAGCCATAGCAAGATGTCTATGCACCCGATAAACTTCAACCAATTCACAGATTTAAAATTTATTTCTGTTCCTCTGGAGGCTCTTACATTATTAGGAGTATCAAAGGAGAAGATGGAAGTAGCACTTTTGGATGTCCTTGAATGTTTGTAATATGAAATTATAAAAATGGGACAGTAGTAGCACTATATAATGTAGTATGTCGTGCTCAAATAGGAATAGGAAAGAAATTGACTTACACTTTAAATAAACCCCACTTCAGTGGTATAATCCCCATTTATGGATTGAAGATGTATTTTTGGTCCAAGCTTGTTATATGGAATATGTAATAAGGCAAACAAAGAGTACAAAGGAATACAAATAATGTGTATTAGTAAAACATTAGGTCAGTAACTACATAAAAATGCACTCACGTGATATACAGCCTCCAATTGTCTCTTGTAGTATATGTTCTCCTGCTTATATTCTACATACCCTTACGGAGAGGTCCCCAGCCAAGTTTATATCGCAGAGTGGGGATTATACCACTCTATGCTGATTTGCAAGAGCCAATGTGAGCTCTCCATCATGTGAGCTCATTTTACCTACTTACTGATGCCATATTAATATACTACACTATGGATTCCTATGTTGAGATTTTTTTTTTATTTAAAAGAATTTGTTTTTAATTGGGCCTAACACTTTTGGAGTCTTTGCACGTTTTTCCATAACCCCTAAAGGGGAGGAGAAAAGACGTGAGCTGGAGTTATATACTGAGCTCTCCACAGCAGGTGCTACCATCTGTCTAAAGTTCCTGTTTCATCATCAGACAGCTCTTTTCACTGTTGTACTTTCATGTTTGCACAAAAAGTCTATGCAAGATGCCCAAAGAACACACAACTGTTGCTTACAGCTACTGGAAATTCACAAAAGGTAGATGACAAAGTGTTGCCTTTTGTTTAACTCTCCTGTAACCATTAAGTCCAGACTTTGTCATACCTTGATTCGGTCAATGAAATTCCAGAGCAGCCAATAGTACTTATAAGTATTTTACAAACATCTATTAAATACTTAAACTGCCTTAAAGTACTGTTGCACAGGTATTTCCCCCCCAAATATTACTTTCACTCAAGCCAACAACATCCTTATGCAGATCAGGACAAATGTCTTTGAACACGGATCTGTTCGTGAAACGTGTTTTGGGTTCTGAAGATGGAAATCTTCAGGAATCTCACATTGTGATTGCTTCTCAAAAAAGAAACAACCAAACAACAGTCTATGGGACTATAATAATATTCTCTTATTAACATGAAACTAAAGTATGACAACTAATTTCCTTTAGTTTAACATTCTCGGTCAATTCCTGCTGGGTTGAGAAACTTGCTGCAAGATCATAAATCGCTGTATAATTGAGAACCCATAAACAGATGCTTTACTTATGTGAAAGATTTATTTCTCAGAACTTTAAAAGTACATTACGCACAAAGGTATTTTATTAATTTCCAGGAGATACAGGATTCAAATCTATTAACACTAACATTAGTTTGAGCTAGAGCAAAAGTGAAGCAAGATTTTCCTTTTTTAAATATACAAATCTAGTGAGTACATGAAGATAACAATACAAAATTTTGGCAATCTTCAAACACTACAGAAAACGTATAAAATGTAAACAAGTATTAAAGTCATGTAAGGATATGCGAGTAATATTTGCACACCATTGAACACCTTACCATTAGAAGATATGTGAACAACTAAAGCTTTACTGCTTAAAAAAACAACAACAACAAAACAACAAACAAACACTGGTCATAGCATAATGTTTGGTTGAAATTGAGTGGTGTTTAAATTAATTAAATGTGAACCAATAAAAATATTCTTGTATTATAACCATTCAGGTGTAATATTTGATCAGTTAGTCATTATCTCCATTAGCATGTAACTTGTTTGTTTATAAAAGCATCTGAAAGTAAGAAAACAAAACCTGGTTTCCATATACCAAATTGCCGAGATATCTAACCAGGCTTTAGAATTACAAGTTGCTGAAAACTCTTTTACCTGTAGTTTACCAATCAGGTTACAAAATGGGTTGCTCTTGATTTATAAGCGAAATGCCAGAGCGTAAGCCAGTTATTTTTTTTTGTGCTTATGGTTTAATAAAAGCAGTTACATTTCTGACTCTTCATGACCTTTCATCTACAGTCTGAAAAATGGGATCCAATCAGCTATCACTTGTTACTCTATTTGGCCAGTAACACCATTTTATATGAAAAAATCAAGACAAGATCTTTTAAAAAGGAAGACAAAGTGCACCATAA